CTGTGTGACCAGTTTGTGTTTTATTCTGTATTTGTCTCCCACATCTTGCTCCTCCTCTGAGAAAGCCCATCCTTTGCCATCTCGAATTGAGAACCTGGACTGATTTTGCAGAACTGCCCGGCCGGTGCACATGAGCAACACCTGTCCTTCCAGCAGGGTGCTCACTGAAGGACCCTGTCCTGTAAGGCCCTCTTGGGGAGACCGAGGCTTCCCTGTGGCCAGGGCCCATTTGAGTTGAATGGACTCTGGACTCTCTCAAGGGATCTGAACCTGTTGAAGTTTGCACAGCCCAGAATAATGCCGTCTGATGAAGGGCCTCTGCTCCCGATCACAGGAGCACTACCGAAGGTCTGCACCTGTGTTTTGATGATGCTGTGAAAAGTTGGTGGACACAGACATGAAACCAGTCCCCAGCAGCTGCTGCTCCCTGGACAGGCCCCTGATGGAAGCCAGAAGGAAGAGGGGAGGGGTTTGAGTTGGAATGAGTGTGGGTTCCCTGCAGGCGAGTCTAGTGCTCAGACCCTTTAGATTCATTGTAAGTGACCACAGCCGACACAGGAACAGAGCGGTGATATGTCGTTGTTCAGCATGACATCACTAAACACTGAGGTCAGCCTCCAGTCCAGCCTCGCCTCAGAGCCTCAGCATCAAACCTCAGGTCCTAGGGGAGAGCTGGGACGAGCCCTGAAGAGTCGCAGCCAGTCCCAAAGGACTGATCCTACTACCATGGAGCCAAGCCTGGCCCCACAGACGCGAGCCTGGCCAGGCAGTCCAGGCCTCTCGGAGAGCAGTGTGGCCAGAGCCCAGTGGCCCTCACTTGTGCTGCCTAACCCTGCCCTGGGCCCAGGTGGGGAGGGATGCCCCAGGTGCACCTCCCCCTCTGCCCAGGTGAGGCCCAGGCGCTGGTTTCAGGCCTGGAGGAGGAGCCCCAGTGGAGAGACGCCTGGGTTTCTCTGGCAACGTCAGGGCGGGCCTCCCTCCCAGCCTCCGGGCCAGCTCCTGGCCTACCTCTGGAGTACCTTAAGGGTTGCCATCTGGGTTTCTGGGCTCTGTTTGCGGCTGTCCTGGAATCTCCCACCTGGTGAGTACCTGGGGGGGAGGCGGGGAGGCAACGCCAGCAGGGCGGTGGATGGAGTGGGGCACAGGCAGGCCAGGAGGGTGGCTTGGCCTTCCCACCTTCCACATATGTGGCTGGGTGCAGACTAACTGTCCTTGCTTTGTCATGGTCCCCTGGGGAGGGGAATTCCATGGGGCTCCCTCTGAGGGCTTGAGGACTCCTCAGGGGCAAAGCCAGTCTGACCCTGAGAGGGGGTTGCCTGCCAGCCTTCCCCACTGCCCAGCCTTTGGGCTCAGGTCCCACTACGGGTGGACCTAGATTGTCATCTAATAAACTCTGCCTCAGTTTTCCCATCTGTAAAATGGGGATAAATACTGTCCCAGACCCCAAATTGGCCTGAGGGTTCAGTTTCTGGTTTCACCTGGCAGGTCCACTTCCGACAATGGGCCCAGCACCGACCCCTCTAGGTAACTCCTCCAGCAGAGGGCATGGACCTCCAGGCATCGCGTCTTTCCAGAAGATTTCTGTCAATTGAGAGTTAGAGGCTGAGGCAGCAGGTGGAAGGAGACCCTCAGCCATGCCCCCAAAGCAATGATCCTCGGCACTGTTCTGGGCCCATGATGGAGGTGGTCCCCAGGGCAGGGGTGTCTGTCCATAGGCCCCTTCCCCAGGTGCTGGGATCCAAGGCTGTGTCTCTGCCTGGGCATGCCTGGCTCGGGGCGACGCCCAGGGCAGGGCTCTGCTCTGGGTCCTGTGGCTGAGCCAGGTGGCAGCACTTCCTCTTGGACTGAGGACAGTAGCCCAGGCCACCAGTCGCCTGGGGAACATGCTGGGAGCAGGCCTGGGAGGTGGCTTCCTGCTGGCCTCTCTGTGGACATGTCCATGCGTCTGTCCTGAGTGGACAGTGGCTCTGTGCCCCTGGCAAGCTGTGGGCTCAGGTTTCTCTGGGCAACTGCGTCTCAGTCCTTATTCTTAGCCGAGGGGGTGCGGCCAGCTGTGCTCTCGGGCCCTACGTGTCGCTGCCGCTGATGTGGAGCCCTGCTCTGTGGTCCCCGCCTGTCCTCGGTGCTCACTCTTCCCCATGACGCTTCCCCAGCCTCCTCAGCTTCCCCAAACGCTGGCTGTGTGTCGCCTCCTCCCACCCTGGCACCTGCCACCTCGGTGTGGCCCTGAGTCCTCTTGGGCCCCGACCAGCAGGGAGGAGCCAGCCAGCCTCCCTGGGGAGGGGCTGCTGGAGGCAGAGGCTGAGGGACACCCCCTGACGAGACCCCACACCAAGCCTGCTGGCAGCCCCCCTAGCCTGCCCTGCTTGCCTCTCTCCGGAGACCCTGGTGTGAGTGTGTGTGCACGTGTGTGCATGCGTGTGTGCGTGTATGTGCGTGTGAGCTCCTGGGTGTCAGAGAGGTGGCATGTGCTTTTGAGCAGCAGGTCTAAGGTGCCCAGGTGCTCGGTCATCAGCCTGTCACTTCCCCAGATGTGACCTGAGCCTGGCTCAACCTCCAAGAGCTCTGTGTGGACCTTGGGCCCCTGACCCTCTCCGGCCCCTGCTGCCTGGTAGCTTCCGGGCCTGGCCTGTCGCAGGGCCAGTTTGGGGACCGCTGCTCCCCCAGAGCTGGGTCTGAGTGCATGGCCGTTGGGTGCCATGCCAACGCCCAGACCTGTTGTTGCTGCCCAGGTCTCTGTGGTCTCCAGCCTGGGGCCCCAGGAGGTGGGTGTGGCAGCTGCGGGCCTTTCTCCTTCACGGTCCACTGGCTGTCCGGAGCCTGCTGGGCCTGCTCAGGGCGGCTTCTCTGGGGACCAGGCGGTGACAAGTAAACAGTGTGGCTGATCAGAGCCGAGTGCTGACACCCCCAGAAGGAAGCCTGTCCCCACCCACCGCCCGCCATCCAGCCCGGGCCCCAGGCTCCTCACGGGGCAGCAGGCTGCATGGGGCATGGGCAGCCCCTGGGGCTTCGAGGCAGAGCCTGCTGCCTAGAGAGTCTCCACTTCTGGGGGCTCCACACAGGTGCCTCGAGGAGCTGGGTGGCGGCCGCCATGGGCAGGCTAGGCTGGGTGGGCTGGTGAGGACAGAGGTGCGGCTGTCCTGGTCTGTGCCTGGCCTCAGGGTCACACTGGGTGTTCCGTGTGTCTGACCTTCCACAGAACCTACGGGTACCTGGTGTGTCTGGCATCGGGGCTCCCTCCACTGTGTCCACCCAGTGCTGGGAGGGGCAGGAGGGGCTGCTCCGTCTGCTCCGGCTCAGCAAAGCCCTGGCTTCTGACCCTGCCAGGACACAGGACTCCTCCCTCGGGGTGTCCTCATGAGCGCACGCCCCCCCCCCCCCCCCGTGCCCAGCCACGAGCATTCACAGGCCAGGCCACCCCTGCCCCCAGCAGCCCCTGGGCCTGTCGGGGAGGAAGCAGGGAGGGGTGCCAGTCCCACTCACACACTCTTCCTCAGCAAGAGTGGCATCAGGATGAGAGTCAGGAGGGGTCCGGAGGGGAGCGGCATGAGCCTCCCCGAACGCGGAGGGAGCTGTGGGGTCTCAAGGGGGACACCTGCCAGCAGCAGCCGGGCTCAGGCCTCAGGCTCAGTTGAGATGCTGGCCAAGCAGAGTGAGCGCAGCCCAGGCCTTCGTGGGGGCTGTTTCTGCACCTCAGGCTGTGCCTCCACTCAGTGGTGTCCTCAGAGCCAGTCCATGCACGACTCGGGCAAGGGCTGCAGCCCGGCTCAGAGGCCACTGCCACCCCAGCAGGTGCGAGCGCAGGGGTGGGGCGGGGTGACCTTAGGAGCAGCTGTGGGCTGGACATGGGCACAGGGTCCTGGCAGAAGAGGGATCTGAGGCCTTCGGGAGACACAGGGCCCGGGAAGGAGTGCAGCTCCTAAAACTAATGAGTGCTCACCCTTTGGCCACTGCCTGACTGCTCCGTCCGGCTGCCAGTGCACTCCCCTGGGCTCACCATCCCCAGAGGCTGGGCGGGGTCTCCAGCCACCCAAGGTCACACTGCGCCCTGGGACGTGTTGGAGTCCTCCTGGGGCAGTGCTGAGCTCAGGGCCAACTGACCACAGGCCCAGTCCTACCACCATACGGCCCTGAAGGGTCACCACACACGTGCACCGGGCAGGCCTGGGCTCCTGGGGCTGGGCAGCTCGAGCTATTATCTCCATGAGCACCTGCCGGCCAGGGGGGCCAAGAAGCCACACCCCTCCCCCCCCTCCCCCGCCACACACCTGTTTCAAGCAGCCTGAGGCCGTGGCTGAAGTCTTTGCTAGTGTCAGGGTCTGAGCACTCAGCCCCTCATCCAGCTGCTGGGGACACGCCTCAGGCTGGCCCCTCTTTCCTGCACCCGGGTCCCCAGGCTGAGCCCCTCGGAACTGAACCTGAGCCCAACATCAGCCTGGGGTTGAGCCCAGCTCTGCTGCCACCTCTGGCCGTGGGAGCCCACCCTCACCCCAGCACCTCACTGCGTCCCCACTCTGACTTGGGCTGTGCCTGACCCCGGCCCTGGCAGCTCACTCACCGTGCACAGGTGCCCAGGAGGACGGGGGGTGGCGGGTGGCGGCAGGTGCTGCCTGGAGCCCAGCAGGGTCTGAAGGCCTCAGCACGGTTGCTGAGTGACGCGGGTTATTGTGCTGTCACCGCCACCTGGAATTCTCCGCCCCCCGCCCCCCGCACCCCCATGCCTCCAAGAGGCAGCATCAGGAAGCCCCAGGATATTGCCAGCCCAGGGCCGGGAAGCCCACCGTGCCCACCCCGTTCCATGACCATCCTGAGGGCTTCCATCCTGGGCAGGGGACCTGACGGAGCCTGAGCGGGCGTGGCCAGCCGGCCTGGAGCAGGAATGGGGGCCGGGCGGCAGACCCTGAGGCTGCCCTCTGAAAGCGCCCGGGGCAGGTGATGACAGGGCTCCCGGCTCTGCCCTCACTGCTGGTCCTGCAGTCCCGGCAACCTGCCTGGGGGAGATGGCCCAGAGGCACCCCAGAGATAGCCAGGGGCACTGCCCCTTCAGCCCCAGGGCTCCAGGGAGACCAGCTGCCCGTAAGGCCCGCGCCAGGCCCAGGTAGGGTTTGTGTGACTGAGGCAGGTGTCTGCGCACCTGGGATGCCTTCCCTGAGGGACTTGGGGCCAGAGTGCCCTGCTGTGTGCCTTCTCCCCAAGCCTCAGTTCCCCACCTGCAGGTTGGGCTGGGCTGATCACAGTGCCTAACAAGAGGAGTGTGGTCGGGATCCAAGAGAGAATGTCTGGGGGCTGCCGTGGGGGGCACGTCACTGCCCGCACCTTCCTCGGCTGTGGGTGCTGCGAGGATGGCGAGAAGCAGGAGCGTGGGCAGGGGGTGCACTGTGCAGGCTCCGCTGGGTCCACACCTGAACAGCTGCGTCTGCTTCTTCCTCCCAAGGGCAGGCAGGCGGCGTCCAGCCATGGCCGAGGAGGACCTCCTGGCTGCTCTGAGGTGGCCCAGGCCCTCCCCACGGCCAGGAGCCCCTTGGGAGGCGCCCTACATGGCCTGGACTGACCACATGGAGGAGAGGCCGGGCCCCCAGGGGCAGGCCTGCAGCCACCCTGCTTGGACAGCCGGCAAGGAGGCCCGGGATGGGGACAGCTCGGTGTCATCGGGCCGCCTGTCCGGCTCTTCGGGGGGCCACAAGTCGTGCGCACCTGCCCACAGGCCCTGGAAGGAGAGGCCCCCTCTGGTGCTGGGGTCCCCACAGCAGCACGGGGAAAGCAACCCCCGGCTGGAGCAGCTGAGGGAGAAGATCCGGGCCCAGGCATGCCGGCAGGCCAGCTGCGCCTCCCTGGGCACCTCGATGCCCTCCAGCACCTCGAACCTCCTCAGAGCCTCCCCGCCAGCCCCCCGGAGGAAGGTCAGAAAGCTGAAGAAGGCCCCTCCAGCCCCGGCCTCCCCAGGTCAGGAGCAGCTTCCTAGTGAGGGTGGGAGGGCCGCGCTGGGATCCTGGGTGTACCCACTGGGTGTCACTGCCTGAGGCCCCAAGAGGGGTCAGCCTGGGAGCTGAGAGGGAGGACAGCCTCTCGGAGGGTCCTCAAGCTGGGCTGCAGCACAGGGAAGGCCAGGCTGCTGGCAGCGGAGCGGGGCGGGTGTGTGGGAGGGACTGGCCCCGGCTGGAGGCTTGTGGAAGGGGCGCTGGGGTGCGGGAGGCAGAGTCAGGGTCAGGTCTTTGGGGAATCCGGTCAGGAACACCTTGAAAATCTTGCAGGGAGTTTGAAGGTGCCCAGAGGCACGGTGTGCCCCTGCCCGGCGGCGTGGGGGATGGGGTGCGGGGAGGCAAGGGCGAGGCTGGGGATAGAGAAACACCCACACGCAGCTTCCCTGTCGGAGAGACGGCCGCCACGCACGCAGCCCTGCAGCTCTGCCCACTGAGCCGGTGCTTAGCTCTTTCCAGGAGGCAGGGAGGATGCTTTCTTCTAAGATGATACTTTGTTTAAAAAAAGTATAAAGTACACTCAGCACTGACCACCACACAGCGCACGGCTCAGCGGCATCAGGGACAGTCACACTGCTGTGCGTGTACCGTTCTCTCCAGGACTTTCCGTCCACTGCAAAGCGCAGAGAGTGAAACGAGAACGGCTGGCACTCCCCGTGTCCCCTCCCCGCCACTGCCCTGGTTAATGCTTTGGGGTGCGTCCCTCGAAGCCACTCTTCACTTTGCAAAAGGGGACTTTGCGTGCACACAGGGACGGTCCTTTCCCATGCTGCCTGGTGCCAGCCGCACGAGGCCCCAGATGAGGCACACGGGGCCCTGTCGCCCCCAGGCCGGCCACCGTGGTGCTGCTCTGGCTGGACAGTCATGTGGCCTCGAGCTCAGCACCACGAGTGAGGTCGGGCCCATGGATGCACCTGGGCCTGGGGTCTGAGTCCAGGGCGCGGCGCTGAGAGGCTGTCGAGCGGGTGCCAAACGGGGACTCTTCCTCGAGGTCTCGTGACAACCTCTCCTTTACACTCTGCTCCAGGCTTTGGCAACCCGAGTGCAGCTGGGCGTGCCGTTCAGGACAAGGCCGTCCCTGGCCAGGAGCGTGCGCCCTCCAGGGTCTCCCAGCGCCAGGCCTCCGGTGAGTGGCTCTGCGGCCGACCATCCTGGCACCTCGGCCCAGGGCAGGGAGCTGGTGGGGCATGTCTCCGTGCCGAGACTCCTGCACAGAATAAGTGAGGCCTTTCCTGCATGGCCACGTGCCAGCCACAGGGGTCCTCCAGGTCCTGCCGGTTCCTGGACTCGCTGCTCACCCACAGGTGGCCCAGCCAGGCCACAGCCCAGCCTTGCTCGGCAGGTGCCCAGGTACTGGCTATGGGTCGGCAGATTTCCAGGCAGGGTGCCAAAGGCCCAGGGACCAAGGGAACCATGAGGGTTTGGCTCACTCATTCACCCAACAGATCAAGGAGTAAGGATGGAAGGCAGATGGGAGCCGCTCCTGGGGGCCGAGGGTGGGAGCCAGGGCTGGCGTGGGCTTTGGCAGGCTCCACGGAGGTGGGGTGGGGGGGGCGCTGTCTCCACAGTCCAGAGAGGCTGCAAGATGTTGGTGACCGAGGTAGAGAGAGAGGAAAGGGCTGGGAGCAGAGGTCGGGCTGTCCTGGCCCAGGGGAGCACTGAGGGTTTTGGGGGGGCTGTGGGCAGGAGAAGGTGAGTCAGGACACCAGGGGGCAGTCATAGCTTGTCCCAGTGGTGCCCTAGTGGCCAGGGTTGGGCAAAGGTTGGTCAACACTCACATCCAGACCCCAGTGAGTGGCAGCCACAGGCATGTTTTTTGGAGGTGTCTCACCCCAGACAGAAGGGGAGCCAGGTGCGGGCCCGGCCCCCACGTGCCAAGGGGCAGAACCTGTCCCTAACCCAGCTCCGGCCTAACCAAGGGCACCAGCCACTCCACATAGAATGGCTGTCCTCCTCCTCCTGCTGTGGGCCCGATGGCCTCAGCTCATCCACCCCCACGGAGGCCCTGGGGCAACAGTGAAATTCGGGACTTGAGGACCTCAGCACCCACTGTCACTGGTCGCCAACTCTTGGCAGTCACATTTCAGCTGCCGTTTTAGAGCCTCCAGAAGCAGGGTGTGGGCAGGGCCTGGGTCTTGAGGTCCCTCCTGGCAACAGCATCGGGCACTGAGGACCAAGGCTGGACTGGCCGCACCAGAGGCCAGTCTTTCCCCGTGGGCCCAGCCATGTAGACATGGTGGGCTTGGCCTATTCCCTTGAGCTAACTGGCCTATTGGCTTCCCCTCCAGTCTGCCCCTGTGGGATTCAGTCTCTACCCCCTCGGGGTCTCCACATCCCCCTGACTGTCCAGCCAGGGGTGGACTGGGCTGTGGGAAGGACCCTCTGACTCCAGCTCTCACTCCTGGTCTCCCAGTGTGGCCAGCTGCCATGCCTGGGTTCACCCGTGGGCCAGTCAGTTATTTATTCATTCAACAAACACGAGTGCCATGGCCAGCCTCAAGTTGGGTGCAGGAGACCGAGTGGGAATCTGTGCACAGTCAGGGAGGAGTGGGGAGCCTGCTGGCAGGAGGGCTCCCCAGAGGTGCTCCACACAGAACGCAGAGGGGGGTGGGCAGCCACGTGTGCCCCTTGAGCCCTGTGGCCGGCTGCCTGCACTAGCATGCAGGACCAGGGAGCAGGGTGGCCCCCACATTGTCCCCTGGAACCTGGTCGGAACCCCTGTGTATGTGTTACTGCTCATCTTCTCTCCCCTCCCCCTCTCTCCTCACACTGAAGTTCCACGGGAGAAACACAAAAGCATGAAGAGTAGTTCTTGCAAAAGAGAGAAGGCCCCCAGGTCATCCACCAGAAGAGCTGCCAAAGACCAGGGTAAGGCTGGAGGGGCCGTGAGGGTGGCTGGTCCCCGCGGGCCCAGCACGCTTCCGCCGCCCCACTCTGCTCTCTGTGTGTACGTGTTTGGGGCCCAGCACGCTTCCGCCGCCCCACTCTGCTCTCTGTGTGCACGTGTTTGGGGCGGGCATCTGGGGTCGACGGGCCAGGCTTGACTGGGGGGTGGGTCTGCTGTGAACGGAGGAGGCAGCGCTGGTGTCTGCACCTCAGGCGCCTGCAGAGCCTGACCATCCCCCCAGCAGTGGGACCCACTGGTGCAGGGGCTGTCCCTTGTGACATGCGAGCGAAAGTCCGCAAACCCCCATGTGCAGTCCCAAAGGCCCTCGGCCACACGCATTCCCAGTCTGCTCCTCAAGCACACTGACACGCATGGACAAGCATGGTGCATGGCAGGCCTATGACACATGTGGTTGACAGTGTGGCTGCTTTCCTGTTGCACCGTGCCATGTGACAAGTTATAGGTTCCACCGCCTTTGGCACTGGGAAGACTGGCGGAGGGAACGGGCCGATGGGCCTGGTGTGGGATTTGGAATTCCAGGGAGCGAGCTCACCTGGGCACGGATGGGGGGAGTGACCGGGGGCAGCATCCACCGTCTTGCCCCCCCTTTGGGGACGTAGAGCCGTCACCAGGGGGGACGTTGGTGACGCATTTGTGTGACAGCTGAGAGGTCTGCTAAGTGGTCTTGGTGGTGGGAGCATCCCCACCTGCAGCTCCTTGACCAGGTGGGGCCCCCAGGCTGAGGCCAGCTCAGCAGGACTCTTAGTCCAAGATACACAGCTCTGAGCTGCCCCTGCGCATCCCCGTGCCTCAGTTTCCCCCATGGCATGAGATGAAAGTCCTGGGTGGGGGTGGTCCTGAGTGAGGTGGGGACACTGAGGCTGGCCCCAGTGCTGGGGGGCGGAGGCAAAACCCCGCTCCTGCTGACAGTGAGGGGTGCTGGGAGACCTGGAGAAGGTTCCAGAAGCCACACTGAAAATACACAAAACGTAAACGTTCTCTGCACCGTCCTCTCCCCACTCTCGGCTCTTTGGTTTGTTTTGTTTTCATGGCTCGCTTGAAAAATGACCGTCTTTCTGCCCGACACTGGGTCAGAGGGCGCACCTCGGGCCGCATCCATCATCGTCACGCGTGTCTCCCGGACGCACTGACCATCAGTTCCTGTCAACGGGGAAGGCACAGCTGGGCTGAGGAGGGATGGGATGGGGTCAGAGGTCGGAGTCACGGGACTTGGGAATCGGATGATTTAGGAATTTGCTGTCGTTAACAAAAAATTAAATCACAATAGTTATAAAATATTCATCCATCCGCCCAGAGGAAAATGAAGCCCCATATTTAATTTCAGATGATATCACCTCACTTTGCATTTTTTATCATAGATGAGGTCGGCCCTGGGGCTCTGACAGGGCACTGGGGACTTCATCCATTTCTGCAGATTAAAAACCCTCTCGTAAAAAAATTAATTGCCATTAAACTGCTCAGCAGAAGGAAAAATGTGCCCGTCAGGACCCATTTATTGACCCGGACCCTCTGGTGGGCTAATGGGGACACTGAGCGCCCCACAAAGGAGGGATCTCTGGGCGGGGTGCCAAGATGCCTGGCCAGAAACAGCCCCTTCCCACCGGACAGAGTGGTCTCTCTGGGAAGCCCCACTCCTGGGTCCCCTCGAAATCCAGAGGTGGTGGGGGTGGGGGGGGCAGTTCCAGCCTTTGGCTTCTGCCCTGAGCCAGCTGAATACTGACCCTCTGGGCTCAGCTCCTGTAGAGGTTGTGGCTGCTTTTCCATCCTTGCGACTCTGTGGGAAGGTGCTTACAGAGGGGGAAACTGAGGCAGGGAGAAGTTAAGTCAATGGCTCAAGGCCCATAGCTACTGATGGGCAGAGCTGGAATATAAACCCAGATCTAGGACTCCTGAGACCAAGCTCCCAGGGCCTGGGGCTGGAGGGCACAGTGGGCTGAGGGTGGGGCAGGGGTGGCAATGTCTCCTGGAGGGGAGTGGCCTCCGGTCCTGTCCTATTGGGGCATAGCTTATGCAGGACCCGGCCCCCAGGGGACATGTTCCTAGAGGGACATGGCCTTACAAAAGGTGTGACTTGGAGGGCAGGGACTTGTTCCAGAGAGGGTGGCCTGGATGTGGCCTTAGGGGACTTCCAGGGGGCACGGCCTCTGGAGAGCAAGGTTCTGTGTGGCCTTCCTCTCCTTGAAGCCCAGCTTCAGGCCTGCGCTGATGTCTCTGGCCTGGGCACTGGGAGGTGCCCCAACTGGGGCATTTGTGCTGGCAAGGCCTGACCCTGCCTGGCCACCTGTCCCGGGCAGGCTGACCTCTGGATGGTCTCTGCTGTGAGGCTCCCTGGTTGGCAGGAAGCCCTTTCATGGGGGGCAGGACAACTTTTAGCTGGGCGGTCTTGTTTCCCCTTCGTTTGCTGCCAGGGGAGGGGCAGTGAGTGCCTTGGGTGTCTGTGTGTGTCTGTGTGCATATCTGTGTGTGCATGTTTGTGCATGCATCTATGTGTGTGTGTGTGTGTGTGCATCTCTGTATACATACAAGGGTGTCTCTGTGTGTGCATGTGTGTGTCTGTGTGCATCTCTGTATGCATGTGTGTCTGTGTGCATCTCTGTGTGTGCATCTCTGTGTGCATGTGTGTCTGTGTGCATCTCTGTGTGCATGTGTGTCTGTGTGCATCTCTGTGTGTGCATCTCTGTGTGCATGTGTGTCTGTGTGCATCTCTGTGTGTGCATCTCTGTGTGCATGTGTGTCTGTGTGCATCTCTGTGTGTGCATGTGTACATGCAAGGGTGTCTCTGTGTGTGCATGTGTATATCTATGTGCATCGCTGAGTGTGTTTGTGTGTCTCTGTGCATCTGTGTGTGTGCATGTGTGTGTCTGTGTGCATGTGTGTGTGCATCTCTGTGTGCATGTGTGTGTGTGCGCATCTCTGTGTGCATGTGTACATGCAAGGGTGTCTCTGTGTGTGCATGAGTATGTGTCTGTGTGAATGTGTCTGTTGTGTGCACATGCATATGTGTGTGTGCCTGTGTGTGCAAGTTAAAGGCAGGCTGCTGCTCCTGCCTCTGCCAGGGCCCTGGTGGATGGGTTTGTAATGATGGTGGGGATGCTATTGGCATTTGGTGTGTGTAACCTGGATTATGAAGTAAAACCTTGATAAATGATGTTTATTATGTGACAAGCATGTCTGCATTGGGGACACGCTCTCTTGGCCCCTCATCCTGCCATCCTGGGTGTCTTCAGGGGTCCCCCCACCCCTGTTGTCTCTGAGTGTCACCAGCTCACAAAGAGATGAATTGCCTTCAGCTCAGTCCCAGTGACCAGCTGTGACGTTACCCTCCCGCCTGCCCTGTGTGGGCTGGTGGCTTGTTAGCATCACCGTTGTGATGATTATCGGTTGGCACTTACTGTGCTGCGTGCGCTTCTGGGCCTGTGTTGAGGTTTTACAGACAGAGCCATAGGAAGAACATGTGCTCTTCCCGTTCTGGGGCCAGAATCTGAAATCAGGGTGTCGGGGCTGTGCTCCCTCCGAGGGCTCCAGGAGAGGGTCCTTCCTGCCTCTTCAGCTTCTGGGGGCTCCTGGCCACATCCTTTCAATCTTCACGTGGGCCCGCCCCCTCATTCACGTGCCCACTTCCGGTTGATCACGGACCCCACCCCTGTACACACACCTACTCTCACGTGTTCATGTGGCCCCGCCCCATGTGATCATGAGACCCCCCTCTGTTCACATGACCACTCCCCTTCTTCAGGTGGCCATGCCCCCCATTCACATGACCACTCCCTCCTGCTGGCACAGCCACACCTCATGTTCACGTGACCGTGTTAATGTAAAAAAACATTCTAACCTGTAACGAATTTTTGTGAGTTTATTTGAGCCAAACTCTCAACAATTGCTGGGAAGCAGGATCTCAATATCTATAATAATAAAAGCATAATATGCAAATTGACTGAATGGCCAAATAGCAGAACGACCATCCTGACGACCATGCTATGACATGCATTGGCACCAGGCCAGCCAAGGTGGGTGCAATGCAATTGGTCAGGGGCCTGCCATCGCCCCACAATTGCCCTGCAGAGGGAGGCCCAGTCCACCAGCCAGCAGGGTGATCAATCGGGGGGCTCTGAGATTGCCCCGCAGAAAGGCCTAGGATACCTACTGGCCAGGGGGGCGATCGATTGGGGGAGGGCTCCATGATCGCCCCACAGAGGGAGGCCCAGGCCACGGGCCAGGGGGCAATCAATCGGGGGGACTCTGCGATCACCCCAAAGAGGGAGGCCACCCTCTGCAGGGCAATGGATGCGGGGGGGGGGGAACCTCCACAGAACCGGGGAACTAGGGTTGTGTGGCAGCAGGCGTGGGCAGTGCCAAGCCAAGGCGGGTGTGGGTGGGGGGTGGGGCCACAAGGGCACCAGCAGCCGAGGCTGCGAAGGCCTACCCTTGCACGAATTTTGTGCCTCAGGCCTCTAGGATTGGGATAATGCTACAGAGAATGGTCGTTTTTCACCTTGTTTTATAAATTACCATCAAAGGAGGAGACGTACGTGGGTCACGTGAAATCCATTGCTGGTAGATTAGGGAGGTGGGAGAAAGCAAAGAGGGGAAACCTCTGGGATTGGATAAAAAGTAAAATGATAGACACATGCTTCATTTACTTAGGTGGGTGCAGGATAGTTAACAGCCAACAATTAACATGATAACAAGAACAATGAGGGAATTTAAGGTCTTGACTCTGGGCCCTGGACCATTGGTTGTACCCTGAGTGGTTCAGAGAAGGGGAAGTTACAAGTTACCTGACATTTCACAGGTATGTTATCTCAGATGCAAAAAGACAATAGGTTCAGTTAAGAACTACCCACCATAGACCGCTTTTTATTATTTTTTTTATTGATTTCAGAAAGGAAGGGAGAGGGAGAGAGAAACATCAATGATGAGAGAGAATCATTGATTGGCTGCCTCCTGTAAGCCCCCCACTGGGGATCAAGCCCGCAACCCAGGCATGTGCCCTTGACCAGAATCGAACCAGGGACCCTTCAGTCCGCAGGCTGATGCTCTATCCACCGAGTCAAACAGGCTAAGGCTGCTTAAAAAGTTTAATTTCAGACCATCCTTTGTGGTTAATTTAGGTCTTAGAGTTTGCAAAACCATCATACCAGCCTTCCCTGAGCTTGTCAGGTTAGCATGTGGCCTTTTTTCATCCACAACTGCAACCCATGATCATACGATCACACCCATGGCCACATGACCACACCCCAGGTCCACACTCCCGTGTTCATGTGGTCCCTCCTCCATCCTCACAGGACCCCTCCTCCTTCCTTACCTAGCCCATCCTCTGTCTTCACCTGGTCCCTCCTCTGTGGTGGGGAGACCAGATGTCAAGCAAGGTGGCCAAGCAAGGTCCTGAGGGGGACACTTGAGTACCATCAAGGCCCCCAGAGGGAGGGCTGGAGTGTGTGGCTCCAGGTGGCAGTGGGCCTGTATCAGGGCGGGTGAGGGGAGAGAGCCAGCAGAGGAAGGTCGGACTGAGCCAGGAGGCCAGGGTCCTGTTCCCACCTCCCCTGCACACTCGCACATACACACTTGCTCCGTTTTGCTCCTCCCAGGACCAGTGGCCCTCCCCTTCCCCAATCCAGGCAGCAAGAGTTGAAACAGCCCCTTCCTGGAGGCAGGACTTCCCCTCCCCACTGCTGTCCCCGCCCCTGCTGTCACGTGAACTGGTCTCCCAGGCTGCACGGAGCCACCGCCCTTCCCACTGGGGCCAGCATTCGGAGCCTCTGTGTGTTTTCTCTGTTTAAGATTCTGAGTTGGTTGGTGTTTACGCCTGGAGGAAAGGACAAGCCCTGGTGAGAGGGCTGCTCGGGCCCCCTCCCGCCCTCCCCAGGCTCCAGAGCAAGGCCCCCTCAGGAGCGCCGGCCCCCACCATGGAATTAGGTACCTTGTGCCTCCGCCTGCATGTGTGCGCACGCGGGCTCCCCCTGCTCTTCTGCCGAAGATGGGTGGGCATGGGCCCCATGCCGCCGGGAAGAGGTGGCATTGGTGCCTGAGCAGCGCCTCCCAGTGACGTGTCAGTGCCCTGTGAACTCGCCACCAGAAGGGGACTTTGGGAAACCGTTCTATTTAGAACCTGGAGGTCAGGGTTTCTGTCCCTGAAGGGCACCCCTTTGGCTCCGGAAGGCTGGGCATGGCTGTCTCGGCTTTCCCGACTTAGGGGAGCAGGGCGAGTGCCGATGGGGTCCTCCCAGACACCCGTCCCCCAACCTGTGCTCAGTGTTCACCAGGTGCCAGGCACAGCCTCACAGCACCTGCCCCTCGGGTCTAATGTGAGTTAGGGATGACCACAGAGACAGGAGGCTCCCTGGGGCGGGGGTGGGGTGCCTCTGAGCTCTGTGGGTCCACCCCTAGTGACTGCCTGTCTTTGCAGGAGACATGGAGGACAGAGCTGCTGAGAGCTCCCCTGTTGGCCCCCGGACACCCCGCCCAGGCACCGTCCGCAGCGACCCATGGGTGCCCACCCACATGCCCAACCTGGCGTCCTGTGACGAGGCCGGGAGCATCCACTCTGCCATGGCCATCCTGCAGGACCTCCGCCAGCAAATCCAGGCGGGGCTGGATCTGGCCCAGGACCATCACCGCAGGGGAGGGCAGGAGCGCCGGCAGCTGGCAGGGAGGAGGCCCAAGGGCCACTGGAGTGCCCCGGACGTGCGGGTCTCCCTCAGCAAGAGTTCTCAAGGCCCGGCCAAGGGGGTGCACCGCTCCTCCTCAGAGTGGGCCGGGAGCCTCTCCGCTGGGCAGCACTGGGGTGCCTCGGCCAGGTGGGAGTCCTATCCACAGAGGACCTGGTCCCCCCAAGGACGGAACCCCACCTTCCAGAGGCCTGGGAGCCCCCCTGAGAGGCCCTGGAGTGCCTCGGCCGGGCAGAGGGCTGGGGCCCCCTGCAAAGACTGGGAGGCCTCTCCCCGAGGACGCTGGAGCCTACTGGAAAGGCCAAGCCCTACCACCCAGCGGCCCTGGAGCGCCTCCTTCGTGAAAAAGGCTGGCGCCCCGGTCCAGTGCAGAGCCCACCCCTGGCCCAGGCCCACCCAGAGCACCTCTCAGCTGGCACCTGGGCAGGAGAATGAGGCTCGGCTGCCGCCACCCTGCCCAAAGCCCCGGGGGTTCCTGGGCCACCCATACAGCCCCGCGTCCTTGCGGGAGTTAATGCGCCAGAAGGCCCTGGCGCGCCAGCAGCAGGTCCTGGAGGAGAAGGCCTCGGCCGTGCAGGCACGGGAGCTGCGGAGCCAGCGGCTGCAGGGTGTGTACAGGCAGCAGAGAGAGGCCGTGCGGGGCAGGGCCGGCCCCACCAAGGCCTTCCCCCTGGTCTCCCAGACGACCCCCAGCATCGTGACCTTCGTCCCACACTCAGCACCGTCCAGGGTAGGCACCGGGGTGCGGAGGGGGCGTGGACCAGCTCAGCCACGGCCTCCACCCCCAGGGCCCCGGGGCCTGTCTGCCCCCTCGGTGTGACCAGGCTCTGGAGGGATCCCGTTGACTGTACCAGCCCCTAAAGAGGATAGACCGAGGGGTCCAGCCTGAGACCCCTGGGGGCCGGGGCCAGTTCCGAGCCAAGCCAGGGTGTCAGGGTCTGGGTGAGACTCTGACTGCATCCGTCTCTGTTCCAGGGCCAGGACGCACCTGGGAGCGTGGGGTCGCCCGCGCTGCGGTGGAGCAAGGTGACCTCTGGCATGGTGCTGGGGGACCAGGAGGCCCCGGGCAGGTGGGTATCAGGTGGGGGGCTGCACCTCCTGGGCCCCGGGCCACACAGCCTGGCCATCTCACTGAGGTGAGCTCATACCACACCAGTGCATTTAGCGCTTTCACTGTGCAACCAGAACCTGTTACTTCCAAACCCTTCCATCACCCAGGAGAAACCCCACCCCATCAGCCCACCCTCCCCTGCACCCCATCTCTCCCTCCTGCGCGTTCACATGTTCTGGACATGAGCCTTTGTTCAGGCTTCTCTCGAAGAGCACATTCTCTAGGTCTGTCCCTGCCATATCGTGGTCAGGACTGCCTGCCTTTTCAAGGCTTCATACTGTTCCACTGGGAGGTGGACCAGGTTTGGTTTCCCATCAGTGGACACTGGGGTGTGTCCACCTCTGGCTGCTGTGGAAACTGGACTGGGAACATGGTGTGCGTCTCGGACCCGGCTCTCAGGCCTGTGTGTGGACCCAGAGTGGGGCTGCTGGGCCACCGGGTCGCCCCACACTGGCCTTCTGAGGAACTGCCACGTTCTCCACAGCGGCCGCGCCCATCTGTTCCGCCCGGTCAGTCCGCCAGCAGCACCCAGGGTTCCCGTCTCCACGTCCTCGCGGCTGCTTTTCCTTGTTTTGTTCACAGCAGCGGTCCTGGGGGTGAGGTGGGACCTCACGTGCTTTCCTTTGCATTTCCCGGTGACCTGGGCACTGAGCATCTTCTCATGTGCTCGTCGGTCGCTTCTGTCTTCAGAGGAGGGACCGCTCTGTCCTTGGCCTGCGTTTTGGTGGGGCTATTTGGGTTTCTGGCTGAGCTGCAGGAGCTCTCTCTGCAGTCTGGTCCTAACCCTGTGGCGGCATGGCCTCTAAGTCCCCGCTCGTGCCCTCGCTGCTTCTGTCTCTCTGTTGGTTGTGTCCTTTGATGCGTGGAGGCTTTTCACTTCGAAGCAGCCAATTTATCTGTCTCTTGTCTGTGTTTTTGGCGGCATATCTAAGAAACCGCCGCTGGCTGTCCTCGCTCTAACGGTGGCGGGCGGGCATGTGGCTGCTCCATACCAGCCCCCAGCAAACATGGACCCTGTGAGCACCCCCTGGGTCTGCCCCAGAAGCACCACCACATTCAGCACCTGCACACACGTGTTTCACACACATATGTTTCACACTCACCACTGGACATGTACAGGCAGCAGAGGAAGGCCGTGCTGGGCCTCCCTGACCCTCGCACCCTCTGTCCCCACAGCTTCTGCCTGTGTCTGGACAGAGCCTTGAACCATGAGCCTCTGGAGACAGGAGGCCCCCAGGAAGGCTGGGCGGGTGCTCCCCTGCCGACATCCGCTGGCTCCCCTGCGGGTCCCCGAAAACTCCAGGACCTAACTGCCCACCCCCCACGCCCGGGGCTGTGCATCTACCTGGGCCCCGAGGAGGCCGAGCGCCTGGGCACGCGGGGCCCCCTGCACTTCCGGTACAAGCATGCCCGGTTGCAGGCCCTGGAGACCATGGCCAACGTCCTGAAGCAGCGCATCGACCTCCTGACTGCCAATCTGCTTGGGGCCGATGCAGCGGACACTCTGGAGGACCTGCCCTCGAACCCACCATCCTCGCGCCCCAGCACCCACAGTGCCAGCCTGCCCCTGAGCCTTGGCACCCCCAAGCCCGTGGTGCCAGCCTGTCCCCAAGCCTTGGTGCCCGATGCAGGCAGAGGGTCTCCCTGGGGCTGGGCAGACGTGCGGGCCAGGCTGCTTCTCTCTCCCTCCTGCTTGCCTGACGGAGAGACGCTGCTGTGGAGTCCTGGCTGGGAGCAGCGGAGGAGCGTGAGCCCCGGGGGCCACCTGGCCTACTCGCCACCAGGTAAGCCCACGTGCCCCCAGCTAAGACCCGCACGCAGGCCATGCTGACCACAGCCCTGGCGGCGGCCGAGGGAGCCCCCTCTTTCCCTGCCCTCAGTTTCTCCCGAAGTGGGGATATGTTGGCAATAGCACAGCTGCTGTCACCGAGAAGGTGGTGTAGGTGACGTCCTGGCAATGGGATTGGCATATAGTTTCCCGTCAGCTGCACTGTTGCAGTGGCTCTGGCTGGAGGAGGGGTGAGGCCTGGTCCTGAGGCTTGTGTGTCTGTCACCTCCCTGCCCTGTTCCCTAAGCCAAAGCCAGGCCAGAAAGAGAAGGGGGCACTGGAGACAGGCTGCTGCCTCCTGCCGTGGGCGGGCGCCCTCCCCTCTCCCCTCTCCCCTCTCCCCCTCCTTCCCCATTCCCGCCTCCCTCCCTCCCCACCGACCTCGCTCCCCTCCTCCCCTGGTGCCCACACCTGGAAAGTGACATCCTGGTGCCCATGTCTCCAAAGGATCCATGGAGGATGGATGTTTGAAGCTGGACCGGAGGCTGGCTAGAGACATGGCTTCCGCCCAGGCCCTTGGCCCCTTGGCAGGGAGGTAAGCCCATGATCAGCCTCGAGTCCGGCCGTGCTGTGAGCCATGGGCTGCCTCTGCCTCTCACGCCCCCGGGGCAGGGCCCCCGCTGGCCAAGGCCTGGCAGGGTGGCCACACAGCCCCTGACACACCTGCAGCTCTGAGGCTGGCCGGGCAGTGGTCCTGCCACCTCTGTGGCCTGACCCAGGGCCTGCAGTGAGGACCAGCCCCGATGCACATCCCCCTCCCCCATGCTCCCCGCATGGTTCCCGGCCCAGGGGACAGTCAGCCACACTCTCCTGTGTCCCTGGTATGGTTGGCAGGCTGATTGTCCAGGGGACACTGAGGCAGGGGCACCTGCATCCAGGTTCCACATCCACGTCTGAGTCCTCACGACCAGCCGGCCACAGTCCCTGCACCTCTAGTACCTTCCACCCCCAGCAGTGTCTCAGCCTTCTCTGGCGGCCACTTCATGCAGGTCCCTTATAGGGGACCCTGGGTCCAGTAGCAGAAGAGACTGGCCTAGGCTGGGGTACTGAGGGCCCCTGCCTGCCCCACCTGCCATCCAGCCAGTCCAGCCTGGGCCTAGTTTTGGGGACCTCCTGCAGTCCCCACCCTCACCCCAGGACCACCCCCTGAACCTGGGCCATCCTCCCCCAGTAGCCCTGTCCCTGCTCTGTGTGCCCCCAGCCCTCTCAGCCCCAACTCCCCCACACCAGGAGGGGTGTCCTTCCTGCCGCCCCCCCTCTGCCCGAGCATCTTTGGGGCAGCTGCTTCCTTGACAATGTAACCTTTCCGGGCACTGTGGCCTCTCATCGTCTGGGGTTCAGGCACATGCTCAGCCCCCTCAAGGACTCCCTGTGCAGCTCCAAGAGCTATTCCTTTAGCCCATCGCCCCCCCCCCCCAACCTACCCAGCATTTCCTGACACCAAAGTGGGTGCGGGCCCCCTACATCCTTCTCAGGGACCAGCAGTGCCCTCCTGATCCCCAACCCTGCCCAGTCCTCCTTCCTGGCACACTGCATGGCCTGGAGGTTCTTGGGCATCTCCCGCCCCCTCACCCTCTGTCCTGAGACTGAAGTGCCCTGGGCAGTGGTCTCCAGCCTCCCCTTCCCCTCCTGTCCCTTCCCCTCCCCTCCCCTCCCCTCCCCTCTATGGATATTCCCTGCTAGTGCACCTCCCCTGCCTATCACCCCCAGGAATCCCCACCCACCCTGCCTTCCTAAAGCCCCCTTAGCTTCGCCAGTGGGGGGCTGTTTGGTCCTTTGGGGTGAGTCTTGCCCCCTTCCCTACCTACCCAAGCCCAGCCTCAGCCTGGTCAGTGGAATTGGAATTCCTACCAGAAGGGGGCAGCATTGGGCTGGACGTCTGTCTTCCCAGCACACACCTGCTCCCCTCTTGTCCTTCAGAAGGGGGTGGGGGCGGGGGATCCTGAGAGGTCAGTGTGGGAGCCTGGCTCCAAGGAGGCCACCTGCATCTGCACATCAAGGCAGACGGCCAGCAAGGCCGTGGGCTTGTCCCCGGCCCACAGCCTTCCCACCTGAGCATGTGCCCCCCCCTCCCCCAACCAGGTCCCACAGGCAGAAGTGAGTCATCCACTAGTCTGCCCAGTGGCCCATGCCTGCCCCACCTCCCATCCAGCTGGGATCACAGTCCAGGGCTTGCCAGCCCGAGGGCATTCAGGACTGGTGCCGGCTGTCCCCTCTAAGCCAGCCTCCAGGCTGCAGCTTCCATGGCCAGGCCCCGTCACCTCTCCTGCTGCCCACATCCAGGGCTGAAGGTCACCGCTTCCCCTGAGGCCAGTTTCTGGACCGTTGGGGCCCCTGGGTCACAGGAGACAACCTCCATTTTACAGATGGGAAAACTGAGGCTCAGAGAGAGGGATTTGCCCAGATCACATGGCTCATGGGAGGGCAAGCCAAGATTCAGAGCAGGGCTTGGCCTCAGGAGCCCATTCTCTAGCCCACGGGCCTCCCGAATCTGACCCTCAGTAGGCGGTGTTCTTGCAAGTCCTCCGGGGACTCTGGTGCCACTGAATTCGAGGACCACTGTCCGGGTTCCCGATGCCAGCAGAGCTCTCAGACTCGTGCCGAGTCCATCCCAGGGTCTATCCCAGGGGTCAGCAAGCCACAGCCCCCCGGCCCACTCCTGTGCTTGTAACGAAAGTTTTATTGGCACATGGCAATCAGAGGGCTGCTTTCACGCTCCAGGGCAGGGCTGAGTCCTCCCACAGAGATGGGGCCTGTGTGGCCGCAGAGCGAACGCCGTTCACTCCTCTACGGGGAGTGCCTGCTGCCCTGCCCTGGAGCGTGAGGGAGGCCCTGGCTGCATCGCCGCTGGCCATTCGGGCCTCCCAGGAGTTGAGCCTCTGCGGGGCTGGCTCCTTCCTGCCACCGTCAGGAGGGTCCTCTCGGGAGCCAGCACCCTAAGTTTAGAATGGGAAGGAGGGAGTGAGAGGGAGCCTGGAGAGGACCCTGCAATGCCCTATCTCCCCCCCCCACCCCCCGTTCATGGCCCTGCGCCCCCAGAGTGCCCCCTCCAGCAGCCCCAGGTCACCCGGGAATCAGTCACTGGGCCCATCCGTTGCCTCCTCAGCATCTGGGCTCAGCCCCAGGGCTGCTTGCTCTTTCTGGAACACTCTTCCATGTCACCTCCCCTGCACGTCCATGGGTGGGATGGGGCACAGGTCACACTGACAGCAGCTGCCACACAGCAGGTGCATACAAACACCTGTGCCTCGGGCCCTGAGGGCTGATAGAGAGGGCCAAGCCCCACCTGTCCCCATGGCCACAGGTGGGTGTAGCCAGCATCTTCAGCCACTGCCTGGTGGACATGTGCCAGGAAGTACAGGTCCCTCATGGAGGCACAGGCTCAGCACCCAGGGCAGTGGTGGCCTGCGGCCAAGGGCACTTGGACCCCAGCCCAGTGCCCACAGTGACGTAGAGGCCTGCACTCCTGCGGGGTGCTGGGCCCCTGGGGCTGAGAGCGGAGCCCTAGTTACTGCTTCTCAGAGGAGACCCCACCAAGCAGAGAGTGTCAGCACCTACAGGCCCACCCGCTCACTCCGCCCTCCTGGCCCTGTGGTCACAGGCCTGTCCTGGACACGGCATGAGTCTGAGAGCTCTGCTGGCATCGGGAACCCGACACCCCCCCCCCCCCACCCGCCCAGCCCTGCCAGCTGCCTCCTACCTATCCCACCTACTCACATGCGTGTTTGCATGTCCCCAGCTCACTCGAGGTGCCAGCCCCTCCGGACCCCACCGGTGGCTCCCTGTGGCTGGAGGAGATGCCGTCAGCCAGAGGGGCAGGCTTGGTCACGCCCTGGGCCCTGCAGAGCTGCGGTAAGGGCGAGCCTCCGGACAGGCCCTGGGCTGGCTGGTTGGGTGGCCGGGGAGGTCCTTCGGGGACCCCCTCCACGGCCTGCCGCTCCGGCGAGGTCCTGCGTGTGTAGAGACCCTTTTCTAAGTGGAGAGCATCCATGTTCAGTATTAAAGTGTTTGGAGGCTTTTGGGACCCAGCGGCCTCTGTGCTCTGTTGTGACTGATCCTGGCTTCGAGGGACTTGTATCAGCCACACGTGGTGGGGGCGGGACGTGGGGTGGTGTCTGGGTGGGCAGTGCCGCCTGGTGAGGGTGTGAGACCAGAGCCAGGAGCAGAGAGGGGCCTCCCAACACCCCACAGGGAGGGCCGTCAGTCACTGAAAGGACAAAACACCTGAACTGTGGACCGCAAATCGGGTCTGGAAGGTGCGAGCCTTTGCACTGACTCATTCCCTGAAGGAATATTCGATGGGTGGCGTGGGTGTCAGGACAAGGACAGGCAGAGCGGGTGTGGCCAGCCCTTTCTGCAGAGCTGCCCCTCCACAGGTGCCCACAGAGGGTGGGTCGCAGACCTCCCGAGGAAGGAGAGACCTGGGTGAAGGCTGCCCCTCCCCAGCCCACGGGGGCCTCAGGGCCCCACCCACACCTGCTGGGCTTCCAGGGAAAGGACAGGGCAGAGCTGCCCACCTACCTGAAAACGACCTCCTAGGCCTCTGAGGTCTGTCGGGGCTGAGCTGTCGCCGGGGCCTGGCAGCATCCACAGGCTGACCCTAGGCAGCCAGGTTGCCAGGGCTTCTAGAACAACCAGCACTGCTCCCTGCCCTGCCTCTCCAGAGGTGGGAGCAGGTTGGGCCGTGGTCTTACCCGTCTCTCCTACAATTCTCTGGCAGAGTCTCTATCCTGGGGCCACAGGCAGCCCAGGAGTCATTTGAAATCAGGGTGGCTCCTGCCTGAGTGGCTGAGGGCAGGGCTCAGGTAGCCAGAACCAGCAGTGAACACAACCCAGAGGCCTGCACTGGGCTCCCGTCAGACACCTCCTCCAGGGAGCCTTTCAGATAACACTTGGGTCACTCACCCGCCGTCGCCTGCTCTGTGGGCATCAAACTCCTGCTTGTGCGCCTGTCTGCATGGCTCATCTCCCACCACCTCCATGGCCGCGTGGGGTTCAGACCCAGCTTCAAGTCGGCCAGCTCCCGTTTTTACCAATGGAAGCAGTGCCATCCAACAGAACCTTCTGGACTCACAGGCCTCGGCCAGCGCTGCCCAACAGAACTTACTTTCTAACGACATCATCCAACAGAACCTTCTGGAATGAGGGAAATGGTCTAAATGGTGGGCTCTTCAATAGGGCAGCCGGCAGCCACCAGCCACCTGTGGCTCTGTAGCCATTAAAGAATTTTGCACACAGATCAGCATGGTGGCTGCAGCCGCGGCCGCCATGAGGGACAGCACAGCCCTGACTTCAGACACAGGGCTCCCCCAGACAGACAGGAACGGCGTCAGCTGCACTGGTTGGGGGCCAACTCCGTCAGTGAGAGCACCGTCATCCTCGTCACCATCACCATCCTCACCAGCGATCCTAACGGCACTTACTGACCCTCCCACTGGATCCTCGCTTCCAGGTGCTCTAGGGCAGCTCCTCACCAATCGTCTCCAGAGGACTTGGGGAGCGAGGCAGGGTCATCCTCTGCTCAGTGGGGTGACTCTGAAAGTCTCGGGGGCTGCCATCTGCTTGGCCACCCAGGGCCAGGCCAGGCCAGGCCAGGGATAGCTTGCTTTCTCCCAGATCACAGCCCCGAGCTCCCTGGGGACCAGACGTGACCAGGAACTCCCCTCCTCGGGCTGCGGGGCCAGGACCTGAGGAGAGCCCGCGGGAGCCTGGGCAGCAGCCAGGGTGAGGGACCGGCGCCTCCTCTCACTCAGCCGCTCAGGGACACAGCAGAGCAGGGGATTTTCCTCACGAGGGACTTGGCTCAGGACACACTTCCAGCCAGTTCCTGAAAGTGTCTTCGTTCCCAAGGAGATTGGTTCACACGAAGTAGGAGGGGGGGCCCGAGCATCGCCCCACGTGCTCCACGCACGCCAGGGGGCCAGAGCCCCGGCTTCCAGTCCAGGCTGGTGCCTCAGTTTCTCAGCTGCCATGGAAACACCTGGAACTGGATCAGCTCTCGTTCACAGCTCTCCGACCACTTGCTCTAACCGAGGAGAGCAGAGCCGCTCCGTCAGGGAAGGAGAGGGTGGGCAAGGATGCTCTCCTCTCGGCACAGGCGCCAGCGATGACTGAGGAGCTCGACGGAGAGTCCCAGGAAGGCTCTGCTGTCCTCAGACCAGGGCCCAAGCCCCACGGGAAGCCGAGTCCTCCGTAGCCCCTGCCAGCTCTCCCCAGGGCCCAGGACAGGAGACAGGGGCTGGGGGAGGAAGCAGCACACAGGCTGCCCCCAGGGGCCGGGTCCGCAGGGCTGGGGGGAGTAGGAGCAGGCAGGGCTGGGGCTGGACCCGGAAGCCACCGAGGAAAGAGCAGCCTCCACTGCCTCGGGGACTCCCTCACCCGGGGGAGGCGGCAGTTTCCACGCTCATGCTCCAGAGGAAGCCCAGCGACCCGACCTGGGCGCCCGGCCATGGCCACCCTGCACTGTGACAGCAGCCACCACAGCTGAGCCTGCATTACCCCTCCCCCACAGGCAGCAGGAAACTCCGCTCCCCATGGAGGCTCTGAGGGGCTGGTGGTTTGGTCCAGGCCACCCGCAAACACATGACAAGTGAGGCCTGCCTGGTGGCACCATGCCTGTCCCCTCTGCAGGGTCGTGGCTGGGGGTGGGGGTGGGAGAGCATGGCCGGGTCAGGCCAACGAGCCCCTGGGCATCGAGGGGAGGCAGCAGCGTCTGTCCCCTCCTCTGGCTGCGGCCTCTCCCACCCTCCCTGGACGTGGGGGGAAGGGACTGGACTCTTCCCTGCAAATCGGAGCGAGAGGCTGAGCCGGATGCTGAGCTGGACGAGAGGCCCAGGCGCTCAGCTGTTCCCCCTGTGCTTGCAGGTCAGCAGGAGCCTGGCAGGCCACGTGCGGGGCACTTCTCAGACCTCCAGCAGAAGTCCCTGAGCTTTCTCCAGGCACTGAAGGTGTGTCCCACCCCCGCTGTGTCCCTTTAGGCCTTTTCTGTTTGAAGTGAGCGGGGCGCAGCCTTTGCCCCCCAAAAGCTGAGCAGAAGAGGCCCTGGAGCGGGAACTGCAGGAATCACAGCGGCAGCCTCCGGGCGGGGAGGCTGGGAGGGAGGAAGGAGAGGCCGACAGTCAGACTGGCCCAGGACACCCAGGGCACGGGGACCTGGGGGAAGGATCCCTGCCAAGACTGGGGTCCTTTGGGGGCCCCTCCTATTCCCAGAGGTGGCACCCCCTGTCCTCTCGCCAAAGAGCAGGGGGCGGAGGAGGGGGGGCCGCAGGCTGGGGCCAGGGACCTGAGGCTGGGCCCTCCCTGCAGCTGGACCAGCAGAAGCAGGAGCAGGCCCTGGCCCTTCTGCGGCAGCGGGCGGAACTGGAGGTCTGGGAGACCCAGAAGGCCCTAGACGAGCTGCTCTCCAAACACCGGCTGGCGGTGAGCCTGGCCCTGCCCCATGCCTGCCCCTCTGAGCCTGCATGTTCAGCCCCAGCAGACAGGCAGCGCTGGTGGTCAAGGTGGTGCAGAGAGCACCCCCAGGGTCGGCAGGGTGAGGACCAGGGTGAGGACCAGGAGGGTGATGTCATGATCTGGTCGGACGGGACGAGCCCTCTCAGAAGTGGCTCTTCTCCGTGTCTGGGGACTGTTGGTGGATGTTCTTATGCAGACATTTAGGGAGGCATTCCCAAGAGAGCAGCCAGGTGTGTCTGTGCGCACGTGTCTGTGTGTACATGTGTCTGTGTGCACGCACACGCACTCACGCACATGCCCTCAGACCTACAAGCACACACACACCTGGCCCATTTCCCTTTCTCTCTCCCCCTCTTCCTGCTTCTGGCATCGCACCTGCTGGGTGACTGCCGTTCCCTGGGAGCCTTCCAAAGCCACCCTGGCTGTCCACCCCCCACACTGTGGGAGGCCCATCCCCCACCTGACTGTGTCTGCTGGAAACCTGCCACCCTTCCCCCATCCAGCCCCCTTCCAGGCACCTGGCCAGGCCCATTGGCTGTGAGGTTGCCCTTAATCCTCCACACACACCTGTCCTCACAGAGGCGGATGGAGAAGCGCGAGACCCAGGCCAGGCCAGGAGCAGCACCAGAGCTGGAGGGGCTGCGGCTGTGGGCGGGCCCGGATCCGAAGACCTCCTGGAGCGCTGTGACGGCCAGATCCAGGTGCGTCCAAGGCCGGGATGGTGGCGCCCGCCCAATGTGGAAGGTGAGGTGGGGGGGTCTTGGGCAGGCGAGGTACTGGTGCTGCTGGAGGGAGTCCCCAGCGCCTCCTCACCTGGCAGGTCCCAGCCGTCCCTGGGCAGAGACGCTGCTGCGCCCTCCCGGGGCCCTGAGGAAGGACAGGAGAGGCCGGCCGGCCAGTCAGCCTATGCAGGTGAGAGTCCTCAAAACCAGCCACTCTCCACGTGCTTGCCCATGCTCCCTGTGTGGACCCGAGGGGAAACAGAGTCAGGCACACACTGGAGAGGCCCAGAGAGATGGAGTGACTTGCCTGAGGCCACACAGGAAGGATGGAGCCGGGATTTAAACCTTAGTTCATCTGATGCCAGAACCACGATTGGGCCCGGGCACCACTGCTCCTGCTTGTGGGCGCAAGCTCGACACCCCTGGGGCTTGGTGTGACTGGCAGAAGCCAGCAGGCGGGCTCGGGGGGCACCGTTATCCATGTCTCTCTGTCCCTCGCTCTAGAGCTGACTTCCTCTCTGGCATCATGTTCCTGCTGCTTGAAGGACCACCTTTACCATTTCGGGGGCGCTGTTCGCTGGGGACCCTATCTTTTAGCCTCTGTGTGCTCTGACCCAGATTGTGAGGTTCTGAGCCTGGCAGGTGGGGACGGACGTGCTCCTCAGCGTCTGGTCCTCTGGTGCTTCATTCCCGGCACCAGGGTTTCCCGCGGGCACCAGCAATGGCTTCGAGACGAGGGGACAGGCAACAGCCTCCAGGCCTCTCCCCTCCCAGACCCTCAGCCCACCAGGCCTGGCTGCATCGGTCTCTCCAGACTCGCAGCTCCACTCCTCTCCCAGGTGTCCGGGGCTCTGCCTCAGTTTCCCTCCCCGCGCTGCAGCAAGAGCCTCTTGGGCAGGCAGCTGTGACAACCAGAGGTCTCACCTGCCTGGCTTTTTGTCTCAGGGATGACCATACAGTGTTGCTGATATGTCTGGAAAATGTTCTTTCATATGTGTGTGTATGAACATGTAAACGTGTCTGGGAACGTGTGTCTGTCTGTATGCATCTGCATGCATACTTTTTTGTTTATTTGTTAAGTTTTTTCTCAGTGGAACATTAAATCCACACTCCAATCCCCTTGGCCCTCTCCTGGCAGAGGCCGGGTCCTCGTATGATCTTCTTAGAAGCACAGGGTCCGTTTTCCATCACACCCAGCACCGAAGGCGGCCAGCGGCGTCAGTGGCCAGACCTGCCTCAGCCGGGAGTGTGGGCTCTGCTGTCACCCCACCTGCTGGTGCTGTATCTCAAAAGGGCCATTCTTTCTCTCTGGGCCTCCTTCTCCCCATCTGTGGAAGTGGAGCATCTGGGCCCAAGCACCCCAAGCCCCTCTACCTGGGTCTGGGTTTCTGCAGGGTCAGTGGGTTCACACACCAGAACTTCATGTCAGGCAGTGACAGCGATTCCTTTGGCCTCGTGGTTGGTGGGCAGCTGTGTGTACGGGGGGCATCACGTTGCTGCCGACATCCCACCTCTCGGGCCGTCCTGTAGGAGCAGCCCCGGAGCCCCTCCGTGGCCCAGCCCTGCCGCTTTCTCTCTGCCCTCAGCGTCCCTGCAGGAGCCGGAGCCAGGACACGCCCCATCCCCGTTGCCCCTGGCCAGGCTCTACCCTTGGGACCACCCTGTTCACCAGGTACAGGGAGACACCCCAGGGGAAGAGCATAGGAGTGGGGTGCAGGGGAGGCACTGGCGGCCAATGGTAGACTCCAATCCTCCCTCAGCTGCCTCTCTGGGGCCTGCACACAGGGTTCTCCACGGGGGCCCTTGCTTGGAGGAGGCTCTCCCTGCCATGGCATCCCCCACCCTTCCAGCTGACATCGCCCAGGCCCCTTCCTCCCACCCGGGGTGGGGGTGAGAGCAGGCACCTTGGGCAGGGCTGGCCCCACTGCCCAGGCTGCACACTGCAGAGTCGGTGGCCGGGCTCTCAGACCCTCTGGAGCACAAACAGGGACCTGGACTGGGTCAGGACTGGGCAGGTGATAAGACCCCAGCTGCCCTCAGAGTTCACAGTTTGGGGGACAGTCCAGGAGGGCTTCCTGGAGCTGTTGGCCTGCTCCCCTGGTCTGAGCTCCATTCCTGTTGGGAGAGGCCGGTCAGGGAGCAGCCAGGAAGCTAGACAGGCAGCGATGAGGCCTCCTGCTCAGTCTGCCCCACCCCAGGGGAGCCAGGCCCGGAGCTCTCGCTGCTTCCTGCTCCAGGTGCCGGGGCAGAGCCCGTGGGAGGAAGAGCTGCTGCACCTGGACGAGGAGGCCGTGCAGGGGAAGCTGCGCTGCGAGCCAGCCTGGCTAGAGTGTCAGAGGTGAGCCTGCGCTTAGCCCCCCCGGCTCCAGCGTCAAAACCACCCCAGCTCACTCTCTGAGGTGACCTCTGCCTACTTTCCCGTCTGTCTTCCCGGCTGTTGCTGAGAGACATGAGCACGTGGCTGCTTAAGCAGCATCAGCGTCAGCAGCACAGACTGTGGCCTGAGTGTTCACTTAAAAGTCAGGACACTTGTCCGTGTCCCTTCGTAACTGCTCCACGTCCAGGGCGCCCAGCACAGAGAGCTAACCGGTTCCTTCACCAGCCCCACAGCAGGGCCTTCCGACAGGAAGTGCTCACCCAGGACATAACTTCCTTACAGTGAATCCTAGCAGTGGGAACGCACTTTTTCAGCTTCTCGATGTTGCCACATTGGTCCCCAAAGAGGTTTCCCAGCTGAGAACCTCACTTCCGTGCAAGAGGGTCCGGGCTGTGGGCGTCCTAGGCCACACCCACCCCTTCCCCACAAGCCCTGGGCTGGGCTGGGCCCCAGGTGCTTCATCTCAGGCACAAAAGGGGTTGTGAGGGGGTGTGGGAACAGTGAGTTTGGCTGGGGCCACCCCCAGGCTCCCCAGCAGCCCACCCATGGCTCCTCCTGCTTGTGCCCTGCTGTGGGGAGGATGGGGGGGAGGCAGGCGGGGCGGGGGGCGGGGCCAGGTGCACCTGGCTGGCCAGGGCTGGCCGTGCCTGGTTTTCACATTCATGTGCCAAGCTTGAGGGTGTCCCTCTTGCCACCACCCAGGTGTCCAGGCAGCCAGGGCAGTGAGGCCGCGCTGGTCTTGGCCGAGAAGCAGCCGCACGGCCTTAGCAGCCTTGAGCAGGGGCAGGTAAGGCCGCCTGACCTGGGCGTGGGCAGGTGGTGAACACAAAGTGGTCATGTGACCACAGCTGGAGAATTCCTGAATTCCCGAGCCCTCGCCACACCCCAGGCTGCCCACCTTCTCATCTCTGCCCTCGATGGCCTGTCTGGACTGGGGAGGTGGAGGGCAGGTATGAGGCAATTCCGGGGGCGGGGGAGGGGGGGACAGGAAGAGACCCGGGCAGAAAAATGCAAGACACACTATCTGTAGGCACGGCTCGGCCCGGGAACCGTGAAGAGGGCTTAGAGGGTCCAGGTATCACATGGCAATGAGGGGGCCCACGGAACAGGCCTTGCCAAGGGCTGGCTGCAGTCTCCCACCTGAGAGGCAGCCTGGCTGGAGGGCCCGGGGCCACTCCCACACCAGGAATCCTGTGCTGCAGGTGGAGACCGGGGGAGGGGGGTGTGGAGGCAGGGGTCATGACCCCTGGGGCCTGGGATGCCACCTCCCAGGGTCCGAGCCTGGGCAAGGCCGCTCTGCTGAGGTGTGTGCTCTCAGAGACAGCGGGGTCCGAGGTCAGTGGGGACCATGTAACCAAAGGACGAATTTAGTGGTGGGTGCCATGCCCAGACCTAGTGGAAGAGCTGCACAGGAAGGACAGGGGTGCAGCCAGCCTTGGGTGACACGGGGACGAGCACCCCCTCTTCCCTCCTGCTTCCTGCTGGAGCCTACTGTTGGCAAAGCCAAGGGGAGCCAGTGCACGGGGAGGAGAAGGCAGGGCGTCAGGAGAGGCGAAGGGAGCCCCCCACCAGTGCCCGAGTCGGTTCATCGGCGGCTCCTTTTCCACGTGCGCCTTTGTGCCGGGTCGGGTACGGCTGACTTCTCCTCCTCTGCCTGTTCAGAGGGAAACCCGATTCCCGGACAACAGTCGCCTGCTCTCGTGCCAGGAGAGGACACTGCTCCTGCGGCACCACCGACACATCCTCTCGGTGCAGAGGGCCGTGACCCGTCTGCAGCAGGAGCTCCTGGCCACGGCCCAGCTGCTACAGGTGGGCGCTCGCACCTGGGCTGGAGGCTCAGTTGTGGGCAGGAGATGCTTGTCACCAGGGCTTCGTGGGATGAGCAAGTCCCTTGTAAAAACATCCGGGGAGGACAGGAACTCTGGGGGGTACAGATGGAGGGCAGGGGGGTGGCTGCTGACTCGGGGCCCCAAGGTGGTCTCCTGGGCAAGGTGGCCCTGGCCAGGCCCTGGAGGAGGAGACGGTCATGGGAGAGGACCTGAGGCCAGAAGAAGCACGTGGTCTGGAGCTCCTTGGAGAGGCCAGGCCCGTGGGGGACCCTGAGCAACAGGGCACCCCTGGCCCAGCAGCCTGAACCTGGCTGCTGTCTCATGCAGGAGGCTGCGGACCTGGGTGGGTGGGTGGGTGGCTGTTCTCTGTAAGCTGGGAATGCTGCAGGGGGATGGAATGAGCTGGGCTCCATGATGCATCTGGTGAGGGTTAGCAGGTGCATGGTGGGACGGTCACCAGGCAGGTGTGCTGCCTGACCGCGGCCAGCCCGTAGGAAGGGCACCCAGGACAGCTGACACAGACGAGGGTGTGGGCCCAGCTAGTCATGCTCTGGCCTGGTGTCTGCACCATTAGCACTGGGGCTCAGGCTCCTGTGAGGGTGTGCGCACGGTTTCAGCCAGGTGCCTACTCAGGTGAGCACTCCGTCCACACTTTCCGAAGAGGAGATGGACCAGGGGTGTCCTCGCCGGCTCACCCTCTGCTGTTTCTCCCAGGGTTCCAGCCCTGAAGCCAAGGTCCCCTGGGAGTGGGGCTCTGAGAAAAGCCAGCAGCCAGAGGGGCCTGCGCAGGGCTCATCATGCTCCCCAACACCACTCAGGCCCTGCAGCCCCTCCAGCCACGGCCCCTGGAGGAGCCCTGAGAGCCCGGGAGTTCCCCTGTGAGTCGTCATGGGCAGCCCTGGCCCTGTGCTCGCCCTCTCCTCTCTCCGGGAGCTCTTTCCAAATAAACCTCACTAGGACTGATCTAAACTCACGTCACCATCACACTCCAGTCCTGGGTCCTGGAAATCCCTGGGCTGACTACCCTCATGGGCCATGGGCTTGCTTGTAGGGCTGGGTGGGCAGAAGATGGCCCACGGACCCCAGCCCTGTCCACACCCCGATGTGAGTGTGATCCTGGGAGATGCTCAGGGGGACCTGGAGGAGGAGCAGCTGTAGCAGGTGCCTGGAAGACAGGGAGCGTAAGTAACCCCAAGCTGCCCGCAGAGAATGGCAGAATGTCTGAAGCTGGCCTGCCTGCAGGCATTGCCCTAAACCAGGAGTCAGGACAACAGCCACCTCCTTGCGGCTGCGATGGGGGCCACTTTGTGCTGGCATCAGTGTGCCAAGGGCATGGCAGCCTGTGTGGCGTCCAGGCCTCCAACCCATGGTGCCTCCCAGAGCTCAGTGGGCCCAGCTAGTGCACACAGGGCCACACCCCGTGCCAGCGGTCAGTCTCCACACAGGAGTCTTGATAGAGCACGGCTCTGGGCCAGGGGATAGATGGACATCTCCCCCCACCACACCCAGCACTGTGCCCCGTGCCCTGTCACCCCTCAGCAGTGGCCCCATTGGGGGCAATGCTCTGTGCATGGGGGTGTTGGGTGGGGAGGGGCCAGGGCCTGTCTTTCCTTGCCTGTGCACTGGCCACTTGGCCACCAATCACAGCTGCCCCTGGATGTGCTGCGAGTTCCGCATGTGGAGAGTTGTGGCCAGGCTGGGCACTGCAGAGGGCGAGGCCTGGGCAGGCAGTCACACCCTCTGCACTGCTTTGCAGCCCTGTCCCTAAGCAGGATAGGACACCCCCCAGAGAAACTTCAGCTTCGGACGTCCACCTGTGGCCCCTAAGGCCAGCCTGGGGAGAGGAGACGTCCATGGCCGATGGCTGGGTGGACGCCCAGGAAGGGCTGGTGGAGAGCGGCAGCCAAATGGGCCAAGGTAACTGCGGGGCGGGGGGCGAGGGGAGAGGGATAGCAGTAGTCAGAGGACAGACAGTCACTCTGGCCAGTGCCGGCTGGTCTCTGCTCAAGACACTGTGCCTGGGTGTCGCCCATCAGTCATGGTAGCCCTGGGTTTTTCTGTGTGGCCCACGATGCCTCGGCCTTCACCAGGGGCCGTGACCACAGGGCAATAATCACGTTGGCAGAGGTTCCAAGACCTGGGCTTTAGCCAAATAGCTCCCGTCCCTAAGGCTGGTGGCCTAGGACCTCCGTACCTTGGTGACCCACAATCGCCAGGCCAGGATGGAAGGAAGGTTAGGAAGGTGGTGATGGACAGATGTGAGTCCCTCCTGTGGGCCCCCGTGTCCCCACTGTCCCCGCTCTGCTGACCTGGGCATGGCCAAGGCCTGCCCCTGCCCCGCCTTCTTCTCAAACCTTTTCTGGAACTCATATCAGCAGCTCTCCCACAGCCACACTTTCAGGAGCAGGCAGCCATGTGTGCTATGTCCTCACTGGAGCCCAAATAAGCAAGTGCTGTAGCTATTTTGCATTTTAAGATGTTTTTCATGTGGCCTCAGAGTCCCTGGACACCGTGTCTTCTGTCCTGTGCTCCTGCAGTCAGCACTGACGGTCTCTTTGCCTCACAGGAGACCCCCAGCCCAACCCCAGCCCCTCGTCCACAGTGGAGACCTGGGCTCTGATGGAAAGCCATGCACGTAGCTCCTGGGACCAAGGGGGGCCCTGCAGCCCCCGGGAAGCCAGTGTGAGTGAGTGGGGGCCTGGCCTTGCTTTGTCGACCCAGCCATGTGGCTTTTGGGGAGATAACCTCATTCGTCTGGTGAAGGAGTCGACAGGACAGTCTTTGCCTGGGTGGCCCGTCTGTCGGGGGCCATTGGAGCCCACTGGGAGGGGGGTGCCTGGTGTGTGGGGTCTCTAGGGCCCTGGGTGGGCAGGTAGCCCTTGTTCCTTCCCGTGGCCACCAGAGCACAGGTGCTCTCCCCACAGCTGAGGGACGGGACCAGTGCGGGTGGAGGTGCCACACCCTGAATGTGGCGTTTCTCCAACGGGTTTCCAGCAGGTGGTTGAAGGCAGCGCAAGCGGAGTGGGGGCAGAGCTGGAGCTGGACTTTGCCAGCAGCCCTGGCAGGGAGGCCCCTGAAGTGGAAGGCCAGTGGTCAGAGGAGCAGAGGTGTGGGGCCTGTGGGGGCTACCTGGGCCCAGGGGACCCTCGGGCAGGGGTGGGACCTGAGGCGTGGAGGTGGTTAAGCCATTGCTCCCGGGGCTCTCGCTGGGGGATCCTCACTCACCCCTGGTGCCCGCTCACTGGCCTGGCTGCTGGGCACCCCCAGCCCACCCCATGCCCTCCCGAGTCTGAAACAAGGATACCACCCAGTGAATCAGCCCCAGAGCCAGTGGTGGGGGCAGCAGGAGGGGCCCCTCCAGGGAGCACGTGCCTCTGAGCCATGTCCCCCCCAGCTCCCTGATGCAGTGGGGACTGAGGCCAGAACCACCTGAAGACAGGGAGCCTTGTGCTCTGGGGGCAACCTCCCTGCCTCCCGTTGGGGTAGCTGAAGGCCCCCTGCAGAGACCCTGCGCCCCGAGGAGGCTGGGGGGGTGCTGGGAGACTTGCCTACCATGTGTTTGCAGAACAGAGACCTGTTGGCAGGAGGACCCCCACGACCCCCACTCCTGGCAGGAAGCCACCCAGCTGACCACCTGTCCAGGTGATGCCTGCCCCCCCTCCGGGGCCCCCGCCTTTGCACCAGGACCACCGAGTTCCCACTTAGGGTCACCCAAGGCTACTTCTAAGTCACAGCCAGCCTCTCCCGCCACCGCCGGGCTTGGGGGCCACCCCCTCCCCCTCCCATCGCAGTCCCAATTGGCAGGTAAAAGACAAGAAGTGGACTCCCTGTTGGAACATCCACTTTCAAACAGCAAGACAAGGCAGAGGCAGCCAGTCTGTCTCTAACGACAGCTGTGGTTCTGAGCCCCTGAGGAAAGTCCACACAGCGGGGACTCACTTCCTGTGGGGTGGGTGAAGCTGACCTAACCACTAGGATCATAGGGCCCACCCACAGGCACCACCGGACACTTCTTCTGCCTCCATCGGGGCTTTCCGGTTCTGACCCACTGGCACTGACTCCCACCCAGTGGGGTGTGTGCTGCTGCTGCTCCTGGTGCTGGGGGCGTGGCAGGGGAGGCAGAGTGGAGACTGTGGGTGACATCCCCACCCTCTCTTCTCTCCATAGCTCCTGCTGAGGAGGCAAGGCCCCCCACCCAGTGCCAGGGCAGCCCCCCACCCCAGCTCCCCGCCCCCTCGGCCCTGGACTCCCCGCCAGCGTCTGTCCCTGGGACCTGCTCGGGGTCATCAATGGGATCCCATACCCCCTCCTCCGTGAGTGGCCTGTCCTGTCCCTCCCTCCAGGAGTTCCAGAAAGTGTCCGCCTTTCTGGTCCAGCTCTCGGATAGTTCTGCCTCCCTGTCAGACTGGGAGGCCGGGCACACCCCAGACGCAGACCTGGACTCATCCAGGGCGTCCTCTGTTGGAGCCTCCAGGGGGCTGCACGGGGGTGGAGGGCAGGCAGCCTGTGGAGCTCGTCCTTTGCGGGGCTCCCCTACTGCATCAGGGCCAGGCCTCCTGCAGGCGGGCCAGCCATGGCCTCTCCCCAACGTCCCCTCGCCTGGGTCAGGATCAGAGCTGTCAGAGGCATCCAGCGAGGTCTGGGATGAGGAGAGCCCACTGGAGCCTGGCATGGGTGCCCAGCCAGCTGCAGGGTGGCACTCCCCTGCTGGAGGCTCCTCTGACCTGGAAGATGGAGGGTCACCCAGCATGGCACTTCTCTCCCCAGGCCCTGGTGGGGGCCAGAAAGCTTCTGGAACTGGTGGGCATCTGACCAGTGAAGTAGATGCAGGAAAGGCCAGCTGGCCATGCCCTGAGGCTGCCTGCACTGCATTCCTCCCCAGTGCCCATTCCTGCAGCAACTCAGCCCTGTCCCTTCCCTTTCCCTCGGGGTCCTCGGTGTTCAAAGGGGCCAGTTTCAGCCAAGGAGGAGAGACGGGGCCTCTGCAGGCCTCCACCGACTGCCCAGAGCGGCCCCAGGAGGCTGACAGGAATCCCCCACGGGCACCTCCTGCAACACCCAGGGTGCTGGCAGCCCTGAGGGCGGAGAGCCGGGCACCTGGGCATGCGGGCAGTGGAGTCCCTGCTGCCCCAGAGGAAGCCAGCCTCTCTCTGGATGGCAGTGTCCTGCCTGAGATCCTGTCTCCGGTGGACGAGGTGCTGTCCTACGGCAGTGCCGACCTCCCGTCCTCTACACACAGGGATGCTCCTCCGCCTCCCGCCCTCCCAGCAGGCAGCAGGGCCACCCCCAGCCACCCCTCCGAGGACTTCCCTTCCCCACCCGAAGATGCCTCCACCAACACCTGGGAGTTGCCCTCCTTGTCCGAGGCACTGTCCCTGGGGCCCCAGGAGGCCAGCCTCTGCCTGGCGGCAGGTGCACAGGGCAGGAGCCTTGGGGACCAATTGGGTGAATCACATTCTATTGGGAGGAACAAGGTTTTGGGGGGCCAGTGGTCTGAACCTGTCGACTGGCTCAGGTCCCCCTGGTGTGGGGGGGTGGGCAATGCCCTGGCCGGGCCCCCAGGGCAGTCCGTGCAGCCCCTAACACTGTCTGGAGAGGCCTGTGTGACTGGAGAGGGCCTGCCAGCACTGTTGACGGCTGGCCACACAGGGCTGGCTGGCCCCTGGCAGGGGGACCCAGTTCCCGCTTTGGACGGGGGCCCCTGCGTGGGCCCCAGTGGGGACAGGGCAGAGGTGGTGGATCTGGTTTCCACCCAGCTCAGCAGAAGGATCCTGTGCGACACGCTGGCTGTGCTCTCGGAGCTGGCCCCACTGAGCAGCCTGGGGACGGGAGAGCTGGCAGGTGCCGGCCGTGTCCCAGGCCTCACAGGGCAGCCACCGGGCAGTCCTGGAAAGACAGGCCTCAGAAAAGAGTAGGCAGCCTACAGAGACATCCGTGAATCATTGTGTGATTGTGTGTGATCATGTGTGCCTGTGCTTGCATGTGTGTGTGGGTGTGCTAGAGGCCTCGGGAAGCCTGGACTTCCCTGGCATAGGCTGGCATGTGGATGGTCATCGGACGTGGGCCTAAGACTGGACGTTGGCTGTTTGATACCAGCTGTAATGTGGCTCGTGTGCACTTTTTGGGCGCCAGGCCCAGCGCTTCCATTGGCTCTCAAAGACGGCCCAGACCACAGAGATGGAGAGACAGGAGCTAGAAGGTTGTGGGGTGTCAGGCCAGCCGAGAAAAGTCCTGGACTCGGGGGAGAACCATCCTCAGGAGCTGGGGGGAGCAGGTCCTGGGCACAAACGCATCGCCTGGCTGAGATGGCCTCGGGCCAGGACTGCGCCATCAGCGAAGGTCAAGAGAAGAAGAGCGGCTTTGGGGGAAGCAAGGGGCTGAGGCCTCCAGCTTGGTCAGGAAATCAGTGGAGAGTTTGTGCCAGTGAGACTTCTGAGGCCAAGGGCTCCTGTGGCTGTGGGGCTGCCGACGCTGCTGACAGCGGGGCCAGGGCTGCCTGACACCTGCAGGGGCCCAGCTCCTGCCAGGGCCTGCACCCCGTCCAGCCAGTCACTTGTGGCTGGATGACTGGCATGCGCATCTCCTGTGTGCGTTGCAGATTAGAGGACCTGGCCACTCGAGGGTCGAAGATCCCTTCACTGCGACCCGACAACCCCTGGGGGGAGCAGGGGTCAAGGCTTCCCTAAATGTTTCCAGACTCCTCCTGGAAGGAACGAGAGCCCATTTCCTGGTGGTGTCCATTACCAAGTGTGCTCTCCATGGCCCCGTGTGGACCTGGACCCTTGTCAAAGGTGTCGGCAGTTCTGCGTAGGAAACCCGTGCTGACTACCACACAGAGGGTTCCGTGGGGAAGGAAGTCAGAGGAGATGCACTGGGAGGAGGATCGAGACCTGCCAGGCGGAGGCCTCGGGGACGGGTCTCAGCAGTGGACACAGGAACAGCCCCAGAGCCTCTGCCTTCACGGACCTGCAGGACAGGCCACCGCAGCAGCGACCCCTCCCCATAGGAGCCACCACACAAGAGACCCTGCCACCCGCCCCTCACCCAGAGCAGTGCTCTTGCCACAGCCCCTGTCCTGGGGAAGCCACTGGACCCTCGCGCCAATTTGGATGACAGCAGACACTTATGTCCTGTCTGCCTGTCCCAGAATCTTGCATCTGGGCCACAGGGGGCCTGAGCCCCATCTTCCCCAGTACAGCCAGAATGCTGGCCTGTATTCCCTCTAAGCTAGTGCTCCAGGGAATTCACCAAATTCATCTGTACCATCCATCATTTATCATCTATTATCTGTCATTTATCCACCTATCAGTCATCTATGTGTTATCTATCACCCATCCATCATCCATCCATCCATCCATAGCTGCCCTGGCAAAACCCGAGGTGCTGCCTGTGCCCCCCACCTGCAGGTCTGGTGAGGGGTCCCGAGACCCCTGAGAACACTGCAGGGCCCTTCCTCAGGCCTCTGGGGTGGCTGCTCAGGCCCAGGCTGACCTTGGTCCTGTGCCATTCTACAAACGAAGGCACCAGCTAAGACAATTCATGTTGACATGGCACCGGCTGTCCCAGGCCCACTTTGGAGCCACCACAAAGGAGACATTTGGATTCAGGGGGAAATGTGTTCATTCTCTACGCACACAATTTCAAACCAAATTTTGAGCTACAGTTTTTGTATTGATTCCCTTCTAGTTTTCTGAACAAATTAGTTTGTAATTTTTAATTTTTTTCTATGTATGGCTGACCCTTTTGGATTTATGAGGCCGTGTGAGAGGAATTATGTATTTACACACATGCATTTGGCACAGCAATAAATCTCCCACATGGAAGCCCTGCAGGTCTGCCTCCAGCCCCACAGTCTCCCGTCTGGTGGCCGTGGGGTGGGCGCTGTCATGGCCATGGCTGTGCTCACCGCTGGAACCAGGGCCTCCTGTGGTGACCTCCCTGTGTGGCCAGCAGCCCTGCGGTCATCTCTCGGCCTGTGGTCCGGGCCCTTGAAGGGAGGCTGCTCGAGGGGACTCGTGAGAACCCTGGCCCCCCTCCAAGGACAGTGGGCTCCGGGGAGGCGGCTGTAACTTGACTGGCTGGAGGACTGTATTCCCTGAAGTGGGAGATGGTTTAATCCCGGCCCCTGTGATACATGGGCAGAGGGCGCGGCGTCCAGATGTATGGACCCTTCACTCTCAGGATTACTCCTGTCTCGGCCTCAGCGTGCTCGCCTGGCTATGCTCCCCAGGAACCTCTTGGGCCAATAAATCTTGATACCTGCCTCCAGAGAACTCATTATCTTTCATAGAAAATGATTATTTCTCCATTAAACCCTACATTTAATTTTCCTGTCATCTGTCTCTTTCAGCTTCTCCCCGTAACGGTCCCTCCTCCATGAAATACCTTCAGGGCTCGAAGTCCCAGGTCATCTGACCAGCTTATGCAGCGCTTTCATTTCTCACTCTGCTCGGCCATCACAGCCTCTCGCATAAACCCCAGTGAAGGCCACGGGGCCGCTTCCAGAGGGGTGTGCCACTCACACTTGGTATCCATTTAACTGGTGACTTCCTGTGTCCAGGGGTCTGGCTCCCTGCGTGTGCTGGCCTCCCAGAGGGAGCCGGGTCCCTGTGGGGCAGGTCCCACAGCAGCAGGGGACAGGCTGTCTGGCAGGTGCCCAGACAAAACCAGGCCAAACTAGTCTGTCCTGGTCCACACTGGCTCCCAGAACAATGCCCGCGAGCCCCACATCTGTCCACGTGGCCCTCGGTCCTACCCGCCCGCACTGCACCACCAAACACCAAACTCCTTGGCATAAGTGCTTTGCCCCAAGCAAAGGCCCCTTCCTAATGCCCCATGAGCACAGCTGGGAAAAGGCCAGTGGTATTTGCAAAACTTGACTGCAGGCTTGGGAATAGGACAAGATATTCTCTCTCTCTCTCTCTCTCTCTCTCTCTCTCTCTCTCTCTCTCTCTCCTCTCTCTCTCTCACACGCCTGGCAACCTGGCCCTGCCCCAGGCTCTCTGTGTGTGGGGACCTCAACCAGCCCAACTTATTGGTACCCTCTGATCTCCAGACTCACAGCCAACCTGTGGCCTGGCACCTCCCTCAGATGTTAAAAAGGTCTCACAAATTTAGCGATCCAAAACAAACTCTTGATTTCCACTCTGACCCCCAAATTTGCTCTCCCACCCTCCCCTCCCCCACCATCTTTCATCTCAGCCAAGACCAACCGGCCAAAAGTCCTGCAGGCAGATGTGACCCTTTGTCTCACAATCCTGACTTGATTCACCACCTGTCCTACCTTCCAAACATCCCCAAAGTCTGACCCTCCTCGCCAGCACAGCACCCACCACCTCTTGGAGAGCTGTGGTGGCCCTCACAGGTCTCCTGATGCTCCTCCTGCTTCTCACCCTGCAGCCAGAACTACATTCCAGCTCAAAACCCTCCCATGGGCACCATCACATTCAGAGTCAAGGCCCTAATCCAACATCTGGCTAGGGAGCTTCGGGGTGGCCCTGCTTCCCCAATTCTATCTCCTCCCGCTGGCTCCCTCTGCTCCAGCCATACTGGCCTCCTTGCTACTCTTCTGATGTTCCTACCTCAGGGCCTTTGCACATACAGTTCCTCTGCCTGGGCTGCTGGCCTCTTTTCTTACCTCCTCTGAGAGGCCTCCCCACCCACTGGCCTGCTTTACTGCTTTTTATAGCCCTTATCTCCATCTCACCTGGAATGCACACCCACCGAGTGGCTCTACTTTGTCTCCAGGGCTCAGCAGGGAGCAGAAGCCCAGGAAATGTGAGTGAAGAAAGGCATTCTAAGAGTTAGATTCTCTATTTAAATGTCAAGGTCAGGGTGGCAGACCCCCTAAAGCCCAGGTAGGGCCACCAGATAAAACACAGGATGCCCAGTTACCTGTGACTTGAAGTGATGCGCTGTTTATCTAAAATCCAAATAACTGACCTGGCTCGTGTGGCTCAGTGGTTGAGTGTCAACCTATTGTTAGCCACATGCTAACCTGACTAGCTCAGGGAAGGCCTGCATGGCAGTTTTGCAAACTCAAACACCTAAAGTCACCACAAGGATGGTCTGAAATTAAAACTTTAACTAGAAGCAGTTTATCGTGTGTAGTCACCTCCTAGGTTGCTATCTTCCCTGACAAAGGTCAATCTTGATCATAACTGAGCCTATTGTTTTTTTGTACCTAAGATAACATGCCTGTGAAATGTCAGGGTAACTTGTAACTTCCCTTTTTCCGGACCCCTCAGGGCAAAACCAAATGTGCCCTGGTGCCAGGACAGAGACCACAAATCCCCTCATTGTTATTATCATGTTAACTGTTGACTGTAAACTATCCTGTACCCACCAGGGCCTATCATTTTACTTTTATCCAGTCCCAGAGTTTTCCCCCCACTTTGCTTTTTCCCGCCTCCCTAATCTATCACCAAGGGATTTCATGTAACCCACTTTTGGTGCCTCCTTTGATTGTAATGTATAAAACAGGGTGAAAAACCGCCATTCTCTGGAGCATTATCCCAAAACATTGAGATTCTGCTTCCCCGCAATTGCCAACAGTTTGGCTCAAATAAACTCACAAACACTCTTTACAGCCGAAACCGGTTTGGCTCGGGGGATGGAGCGTCAACCTGCGGACTGAAGGGTCCCAGGTTTGATTCCGGTCAAGGGCATGTGCCTGGGTTTCGGGCACATCACCAGTGGGAGATGTGCGGGAGGCAGCTGATCGATGTTTCTCTCTCATCGATGTTTCTAGCTCTCTGTCTCTCTCCCTTCCTCTCTGTAAAAAAAAAGAATCAATAAAATATATTTTAAAAAACAACAAAAAAAAAACCCCTCTTTACAGGTTTGAACGCTTTTATGTTAACACTATGAACCAGGAGGTCACTGTTCTATTCTCCATCAAGGCACATGCCAGGGTGTGGGCTCAATTCCCAGTAGGGGGCATGCAGGAGGCAGCAGATCAATGATTCTCATCATTGATGTTTCTAGCTCCCCGTCTGAAATCAATAAGAATATATTTTTAAAAATAAAAAATATTTTTAAAAATAAATATATTTTTTAAAAATTCACAAAACTGGGCGAGCTGAATTTTCATTTGCCAAATCTGGCGGCTCTATCCCTGCGGAGGAGGCCAGGGTGGTGGGGGCGTGGCCTGGAGGGGCTCCTGGAGGCGGGGCGGGCGGCTGGGGCGGGGCTTAAGGCGGGGCCTGGTGTTCGGAGGCGGGCCTTGCTCACGTGACGGCGGTTGCCAGGGTGAAAGGTCAGGCGCCGCGGCACTTCCAACATGGCGGCGTCCGGGGCGGCGGCTGCGGCGCGCAGCCCGGGAGCCCCGGCGGGGACGGCGGCCCGAGCCCGGCGCCCGCCTTCGGGGCGGCCCGCGCGGCTGCCCCCGCTGCTCGTCCTGCTGGCGGCGGCGGCGGCGAGGCCGGGCACGGGCGGCGCGGCGCTGTACCGCGCGGGCGAGGACGCCGTGTGGGTGCTGGACAGCGGCAGCGTGCGCGCCGCCACGGCCAACAGCTCGGCCGCGTGGCTGGTGCAGTTCTACTCGTCGTGGTGCGGCCACTGCATCGGCTACGCGCCCACCTGGCGGGCCCTGGCCGGGGACGTGCGAGGTGAGGCGCGTCCGGACGGCCCGACCCCGGCCGGCCTGGCCCTGCGTCCGGGGTCCTCGCCCCGGGCTCGCGGTGGCCGCGCCAGCCCTCCCCGCCCGGCAGGAGCACCCGCTTCCGTGGCCCCCGCGGGCCGGCGCGCGGGTCCCCAGGGCGCCCCGTAGGACCTTCCCGGCGAGGAAGACGGGGCCTTCTCCCCGCCCTCGCCCCGCAGGTGGGGACGGCGGCCTCCGGTGCCCCCGGCTCCGCGCCCCGGGCTGGGGGTCCAAGAGCCTCCTCGCCCCCGGCCTTGGCCCGAGTGTTTCCCGACTCAGACCGCTCAGGCGCCGCCTCTCGGCCGAGGATCCTGGTTTGGGGGCTGCCCACAGGGATCCTCAGAGCCCCCAGCGTGGGCGCCCGAACCCTGGAGCTGCCTCTGTGGACGCAGGAAAAGACCTTCCCGGCCTTCCGCGGTGGTTCCTCGGTCACAGACACGCAGCCGGGTACCTGCCGCCCACCCGCCCAGGGACCCGGCACCGCCCCGGGTCTTGTGGTTGAGGTTCCGCTCTGGGATCTTGCTGCCCCGAGTTCCTCGTCTGAGTTCCTCGTCTGCCCGGTGCGCGCGGTGGTGGCCGGCGGGGTGCAGCCTCCGTCCCGCTTTGAAAGGAGTGGGAAGTGCTCGGGTGGGGCCGGGCCCCAGCAGGTGTGAGCTCACCTGTGCTTATGTTCCAGGGGCAAGACGGGGGCAAAGTGCTGTGCTTCCCTCCTGCCTTTGCCGTTGGGTCTCATACCCGACCCTGTTGTCATGCTCTCAGATCTAAACCGATTCACAAAGAAACCTGAAAGAAGCCTCAATCGGGTTTTTGTGCGTAATTGTGAATGATTATCTTTCAGGTGCATTCTCATCTCCACTCGGCGTTGGGACCTTTTAATTCTAAAGGGTTTGTTCTCTGATCTGATGTTTTAAGTCCCTCGTGTTCTGCACTGGTCACAGCTGAGGCAGAGAACTCCTGAACAGGGTTTGTTTTTAAGTCTTTTCTTTGAGAACAAACAGGCATTTCAATAATAGAGTTTTTAAGTTCTCACTTGCTATTTGGTTACAGAAACAGATATGTCAATTAAAATGCAGGTAGCTCTGGTAAGACATTGATCACCTATTTTTGCATATTTTTATTTTTGTTCAGTTTAGTTTCCGGAATACAAAAATCGTAAACTATGATTAAAATATTGCAAACTGTTCCTTCGTTGAACCAGCAGGTAAGAAGGGTTACTTCTGAAAGTGAAACATCACATCTGTACCTAGTGGCGTGATTAACTTAACTATTAGCCAAATAAGGTTATCTTAAAGGGGCTGGACACTGTCCAAGTCCAGGCCGGAAAAACGAGGCCTGAGACGGGAGGCAGGTACGGCTAAAAGTTAAAGACAGCTGTGACCCACAGGCCACGGGAGGCACGGGCAGGGCGAGAAGGGGGGTCTGTGGGGACCTAGGCAGAGAGTCCCAAGAGCCAAGCTGCCAGCTCTGACGGAGTGTCCCCTGGGGACTTGATAGGGATGCACGTTGTCAGCCCAGCCAAGACCCATGGGTCAGAAGCTCAGCGTGAGGCCCAGCATCTGTCAGCACCAGCCCAAGTCGGAGGGTCACTGTTTCCAGGGACGTCCGGCCAGAAAGGGCCTGTGGCCAAGGAGACCGGGAACCTGGCAGTGGCTCCCCCTCGTGGATGACCCCACCCTCCAATTCCTCAGCAAAGGAGTCCGCTAACTCTAACCCTGTGTCCCTGTGCGACTGACCAACCGCAGGCCTTTGTGCCTTATTTCAGCCTTGGGGATGCGTTGGGAAGAAGGGCCCTCACCCTCTGCTCCGCGCTGTGCTCCCTGGCGCCCCTCCGTCCAGTCTGTTAACAGACACCATTCCACACAGTAAATGTGAAGATCTGATTGGCTTTAGTAAGTGCCTCATGGACCGGGAGCACCCCATTTGGGAACTAGAAGGTCTCTCTCCGAGGCGTATCTAGAATGAAGGTTTCACAGGCAGAAGTGAAGAGTGGATCATTTCAGGCAAGGACACCTTCCCTAGGGGAAGGCGGGGGCCTGTCGGGCAGATGACCCCCTGGTGTGGACCAGGAGGGGCAGACCATTAAAGCTGCACCCTACGAGGGCTGCGCTGTGCTGTTGGATGTAAGGGTTTGGTGCCCTGGGCTTCCAGCACAAGTGAGCCGCCTGGGGCCTGTGGTTTTCTCTCTCTTTTAAATATTTACTGTTGAAAGTATTACGTATGTCTGTGGTTTTCTATTTAGCGAGTCTAAGTGGAGTCACGCAGTTGTCACCACGCTGGTCCCAATCAGTCACTGGATCGGGCTGTCCGGCCAGCCTCCCAGGGCACCCACACCTTGGACTCAAGTGTCCAGCAGCTTTCCCCACCCGACGCCCTCCTCCTAGTGTCTGCACCTGAGTGGCTCCTAGAAAGTGGTGGTTGTGGTATAGGCTCTGCTCCCTGGTTGAGTGCCCTGGGGTGGCAGGTGGGCACTGAGCTAGATGAGTGTCTGCTCCCCTGCTGTCCTCCCACCATCGCCTCCTAACTGGCCCCTCATTTGCTTAGAGGAGCACAATGCCCCACAGGCTCCTCCCAGCTGGGCAGAGCCTCTGGGCCCAGCATAGGACCTTCATTTTCCTAGATTTGCATTGAACTTGAGCTCTTCACTGACATTTTCAAGATTTTGAAAATAAATGTTTTTCCCTCTGAGAAGGTGGCTTGAGCTCTTCCTCCCGGGAGCACGCCCACGCCTTTCCCTCCTAAGGTCTAAGGGACCCCATGGGACTTGTAGCCAGGGGAGCAGTGGGCAGTGGCAGCGCATTCCCGCTGACCCCCTGACCCTGTCCCCAAGGCCCCTTTTCTCTGACTTCCCAGTTTCTCTCCTAAGCACTTCGTTCTTTCACTGTCCCCTGCTTCAGTTAATGTTCTCAGAAAGAAAGGTGACTTGACAAGCAAAAGGTCTACTGTTGGGAGTAGCCAGTGTCACTAGGCAGTTGTGTAGATCTGGCTCAGGCTGTCACTTCTAAGGACTCGCTGAACAAAGTGCCCTGTTCCTGAAAACCCTTTAGCCTGGAGCTGTGGTTGGGCCCCGCTTGTCTGCTCCTCCAACGAGTGAGACTCCTGTGCCTGGGGCAGCCCACACCCAGGTGCCTCTGAAATGTCTCTGGAGACTGGGCACGGCGTCCTTGGTGTCTGTTCTCGCCTCAGGGAAGCTGGGGTAGGTTTCCTGTAACTGGCCCTGGAATTGTGGAGGAGACAGGAGGGGGCTGGACCCACTACACACCTTGTCTTCCCTGTCCCATCATGAGACTGAGTCGCCCACTAGTGGTCGCACAGCTGGGTGACAGGCTCTGCCACTCCAGAGCCGAATGGCTCACTCCCTGGGTCTGCAGTGGACGGAGGCCAGAGGGGGGCCCTGAGCCCTGCCCTCTCTGAGCTCTCCATCACCTGGTCTGGACTTGGCTTCTGTGTGGCGAGGCTGCAGCCTTCTTGGTGATGAGCTGGGGCACCAGTGTCTGTTCACTGGAAGAAGGAAGGGGCCTGGGAGGATGGGGTGCCGGTGGCAGCGGTAATCACCTGCAGGAGTGGTGGGTGTAGAGCCCAGGAGGGCTGTGGGAGCTCCCCTGGACGTGGATGGTCTCAGAGGCTGCAAGGGAGGCTAGAGGCAGGCAGTGGGGGCCTCCTCCTGTTGTGGGCCCAGGTGCGCCTGTGAGACGCAGCTTCATCCCAGCTGCACCTGGAGGAAGCCAGGTCCTAAGTGCTGCTGGTCCCGCCTCGGCTCTGAAGACGCGCGGGATTGTTCTCGAAGCCTTTCCTGTCTCCCACGTTGTGATGCTTCAGCCCCGGAGTGCCCGCTGGCTGGAACCCCGTACAGCCTGAGTTTAACCTCGCTGGGCCCTCGGCTCCGGTGAGACTCGGAGACATGCCTGGGCTCTGCACACACAGCTTCTGGATAACCTGGGCTGCTCTGCTCCTTGGGGTGGGGGCTGAATTCCCACCTGTCCGTGTGTGGTTTGAACTTGGAGTTTATCCGAAAAGACCTTTGCTCAGCCAGGAAGGGCCCTGTACCAGGTGGGAGAATTGCCTCCCTGTGGCTGGACCGTGGGGTTGGGAACCCCACACCGCTCGAGGGTGGAGACGGCACGAGGGTGGAGAAGCCAGACGGGGTGCTGTGCCTTGGAAACACGTCCCGTGCGTTCCTTTAAACCTGGAGGCTCCCACGCTGTCCTGTCATCATCCAGACCAGTGGTCGGCAAACTGCGGCTCGCGAGCCACATGCGGCTCTTTGGCCCCTTGAGTGTGGCCACGAAGTTCAGTCGCATTGTACATGCGCGCCCACACGTGGTATTTTGTGGAAGAGCCACACTCAAGGGGCCGCAGTTTGCCAACCGCTGATCCAGACCAACTAATGCGCGACTGGAATAGACTTCCGCAGACATTTTCTATTAGAACTTGACAACTAATAGTAAAAGGTTTAATCCTGGTAGGTTAAGCCCATGGCCGGCAAACTGCGGCTCACGAGCCACATGCAGCTTTTTGGCCCCTTGAGTGTGGCTCTTCCTAAGCCTTAGGAGCACCCTAATTAAGTTAACAATGTACCTACCTATATAGTTTAAGTTTAAAAAATTTGGCTCTCAAAAGAAATTTCAGTCGTTGTACTGTTGGTATTTGGCTCTGTTGACTAATGAGTTTGCCGACCACTGGGTTAAGCCATATGGTTATTTGACATGTAAAGGTGAAATGAATTTTAGTCTACCGTATCTGGAGGCGTAATTGTTTCACACGCATGTTTTTAAGCCCATGGTCCTAAAAGAAGGCTGTGGCTACTGCTGGTGGTGCCCCTGGTGGCAGCCTCGGAGCCTCCGCCGGCGCGTGTTGCTGGGGAAGCTGACACCAGGCGCTGTCCTTTCGGGTCACAGTGGTGTCTCCGTTGTGTGTGGGACCCAGACAGGCAGGTGGGCAGGAGGAGGGGAGGAGCCCAGTTGAATGGGGCAGATACACTGAAGCAAACCTTTGAAATGGCTTGCATTTTATTTGGGAACAGAGAGTGTCTCTTTTGTGTTCCCTGAATGCCGCCCATCTGCCCGCAGACTTGCAGGGACAGTAACGGAAGCCCTCCCTGTCTGTGTTTGGTGGCCTCCCACAGACGGCCTTCTTTCAAAGACAGACAAAGGCCTGTGAGGGTCGGCGTGCCCCTCCACCGGACAGCAGCCGGCTCCAGGGGACGTGTGTATGTGGAGTGGCGGTTACAGACAGACTTGTGGATTCTCAGGGGTCCTAGAAGCCAGGCGGGCCACGGCCCCCCACCGTCCTGTCCCTGCTGGCGTGCTCCTGCGAGCTCCAGTGAGCTCGATGTCTGCTCTGCGGTCATTCACGACCGTGCCCGCGTGCCCCCTGCACTCAGGTCTTTGCTTTCAGACACCGTGCCCTGACGCGGGTGTGGGACGGGCTCTGTGGAACCCAGGATTGCACGTGTCAGGTGTGCGAGTGGAGGTTTCCTGCTGCTTCCTGAGGGAGAGCTGTGGAGGCGGGAATGAGCACTTGGTTACATTCCTGTGGAAAACGAGGTTTCCATTTTTAAGCCTCCAGCCCAGGGCCTGCTTCAGAGGGGGGTCTGCCTCCTGCACGCTGGGAGGCTGAGGAGCTGGAGGCCGGAAACCGGGCTGGTGTCTGTGGTCTGCGTGGCTCCCACCTTCCCTGCAGAGGGGCCTCTGCTGCCCCCGGAGCCTGCTCCCCCCACCAGGAGAAGGCACCTGGGCCCTCTGGGCTGGTGCCCCTGGGAGGGGAGCTGGGTTCCCACTTCTGGGGGCAGGATGGGCACAGGGTGCAGAGGGAGGATCAGGAGTCTCTGGGCTGCATTTTGGGAGGGATGCCTGGGACAGCGATGGAGATGGCAAGTAGGTGGGGCATAGGGGGAGAGGGCAGGAGTTCCAATGCCAGGGTCACCCACCCTCCAGCGCCCTGACTCCTGGGACTTGGGACTTGATGAGGGAGGTCTCTGCTCTGCGATGATCCTGCCCAGGTCCTCCAGGATCTCCAAGGCCAGAGGTGGGTACAGTGTTCATGTTAGGGAACAAGTGTGGGTGCACGCGTAGGATGTTCTGTGCCCAGAGCCGGGGGGGAAGTGGGGGGGGTGCTGCCTAGGCCTGTGCTGGAGCCTCCCGTTCTGGACCCGGCTCTTCTGCATTCAGGGGATGAAGTTGAACGCAGGGCTGACGGCCGTCAGCCTCAGGAGCGTTCCTGCGGCACCGTCACCACCTGGCCGGCCGTGTTCAGAGTTCGTCGGGCAGTGTTCCCCGCAGCCTTGGGACACTTGTGCACGTGGAGTCTCTGCTCTGGGAACGCTGTGAGGTCAGAAACGAGAACGTAGTGGGCAAATGCACACAGGCCTGGGCTGTGGTCCCCACACGCACCCTGCGGGAGCAGGTTTCACATCCCTTTCTTAAGTAACACCAAGAAATACCTGAGAAGGCAGGGCCAGTCCCACTGCGGGCGCCGAGTGTCCGCCATCTCTCTGCTGCTGGGCTGCCTGACATTTCCTGTGACTTGCGTGTGCAGTGTTGGCCGCTTTCCTTTCCTTAACGCTCTCTGGGCAGCGGTGAGTGTGTCATGGAAATCCCCAACCAACAGTGAGGCCCTGTGTTGTGAGCTGGGACCTCGTGGATGCTTTGTGACCGAGTGGGAGGGCAGGCCTGGGCAGGCAGCATCCGCGAGGAGAGGAGGCGCGGCCTTGCTCAGCACAGCCATCTCTGCCGTCTGCGTGAGCATCACCTCCTCTGGCCGGTGACCTGAGCCCCTGGAGGGGTGGCCTGCGGTTCGGGGGGGGCCGGCACATCTCTCCCACCCGTGGCCTCAAGACAGGAATTGTTTCTGAGGCTCGAATGCTCAGTCATTGGTTGTGGAAAACACAGCTTAGATATTGCTGTTACTTGACCCATTGTGTTTTATTAATGGTGGTTAACTTTTTATAATTACAGAAGAAAAAAGCATGCCTGTTTAAGCAAAGGGGTAGATTGGGTGAAAATAGCAGTCACTAACTGGTATTATATGCAGGCCTTCATATTGTGCAGGATCTAGGGATGGTCAGTGTTTTCTCTCCTAGGTGTGTTTCTCATGTAACCTCTGCAGTTTTAGGTCATATCAGAGCTCAGGGAACTCACCTGCTTTTAACCACATTCCTGGGAGACGGTGCACACAGGGCAGCGTCTGCCTCTCGGCGACAGGCAGTTGTGAGACCTGCACAGAAGTCACAGCTGCGGGAGAAGGCGGCAGGACTTACCTGGCCCCCACGGCGTGCCCTGCACTTGTCTCTGCAGAGGCCGCCTGGCTCTGGCCCTGCTTCCTCGGGCGTCCGCAGGCAGGGAGCCAGGGAGGTTCAGGAAGGGTCATGGGCGGTGCGATCAATCTTAACGTCCAAGAAGCAGGGAACGACCCCGTACAGGGAACACCTCACGAGTAGCCTTTGGAGGATGTGGAGACCGTTCTTTTGAAACTGGCCTCAGGGCGCTGTGAACAGTGTCCACTGCACGGAAGCTTCCACCTGCAAGGGAGGCAGGAGGACTGGGGTGCCCACCTGGCTGCAGCCTTGGGAATTCATGCATGCAGGTGGTCAGTTCAAAGGGAGGCCGCCAGGGTCATTTTGTGCTGTGGGAGCTTGGACGCAGTCGGACACAGTGGGAGGTAGGGGGCCAGTTGGCGGGAGGCTGCAAGCAGAGGACCCACGTCCTCCCACAAGCAGGACAAGTGGGGACAGGAAACAGCACACGTCCGCAGTCCCAACCAACATCCTCGTTTGGACCCAGTTCAAACAAACAGTTTAAGTAAAGACGAGACGGTTAGGAGCTGTGCATCGCTGGGTGCTTGCTGCTGGGGGAGCGTGTGACGACTCGCCATGATGACGCAGTGGCAGATGGGGGTGCAGAGCCCTGTCCTTTAGAAGTGCAGCTGGCGGGTACAGTTCTGGAAGTGGGGGGCCTTTGGGTGGACAAGGTTCCAGCAGCTGATCATCGTTGGCACTGACAGGGGCACACGTGGCTGCATTGTTCTCTCTATTTCATTCAGGTGTTGGGAGTTTTCCTTAATAAAAATATCAGCCTGGCCGGGTGGCACAGTTCTTTGGAGCGTCGTCCTGTACAGCAACAGGTGGCCGGTTCAGCCCCCGTCGGGCACGTACGGGAGGCAGTCAGTCCATGCTTCTCTCTCACATTGAAGGTCTCGCTCTGCTTTTCAGACTGGGCCGCCGCCATCCGCGTCGCTGCCTTGGACTGTGCGGACAAAAGTAACCACGAGGTGTGCCAGACCTACGACATCCACTTCTACCCCAGCTTCCGGGTGAGCACCCTCCTGCCTCGCGGCTCTGCTTACCTTCTGTCTGCACTGGGTTCACCGAAGGCAGCCCCTCCGTCTCCAGCATAGGGGGCGCTTCTGTAGATGCAGTGGGAGTGTCTGCTTGCAGAGGGTCCCTTTTTGGTCCCCCCTTGGGGTTGGGCACATTGCTGTGGGGTCTGTGTGGTGAGGGTGGGGTGGTCGGGACTGCTGCTAGAGTCTGGTCTGGGGCCTCCGCACTTCCCCACCCACGTGTGGCCCACGTGAGCTGACGCCTCGTGCACTGTGCTCATTTCTCTGGGTGCCTGCAGGACCCCCTGCTACGGCGCCCAGCCTGGCCACCCTGAGCACGCCACGTGGGCCCCAGACAGATGTGTTCCCATCTCCCACTAGGGGCAGAGGGTTAACTGGAAGGCAGAGAACCATGTACATGGGGTGCGTGTGCACACATGCACAGTCACACGCCTGCACACGAGCGAGAGCACATCACAATGGGAAGCACACGCTGAGGGAGCTTCGTGCCCGCTCCCCTTAGCCCTAAAGCTTGTGCCAGAGCGCGTCCTTCCCCACATGTTCACGAGCCTCGCACAGGCCGTGCCTGGCCCAGCCCTGCGGCCCATCCCCTGGCTCTCGGCCGAGTCTGACCCTCCCGGCGTTCTCCCATTTGGGTTTGTTTGCTGCGTACGTGGCCCAGTGCTGCCTGGAAACTTCGAGTCTCTTACTTGAGAGGACGTTGCTGACAGTCACCCCATTATCGAAGCACACTCCACCGTCCCTCCATTGCTGCCACCTGGCTGTTCTGCTCCAGCTGCTGTGACAACACTTGCACGTGTCCCCTTATGTGGGCGAGAGCCTTCTGGGCACAGGCCTGGCAGTGTGTTGCTGGGCGGGGGCTGCACCAGGGGCCACAAGCCGGTCTGGTTGTGGTCCTCGGAACACCCCACTGTGACCTGTCTGTCTGCGCGTGGGTTTGCCCACTTCCTTTTGGGTCGTGTGTCTGTTTCCCACTCGTTTCCAGAGCCCCTTGTCCTTCGAGAGGCTCAGCTGTGAGTGTGGCAATACTGCTCCCGTCCGTAACTGTCTTCAACGTGTCTTTTCAATAGAAAATGCTTTCTTCTGCTCAGAATTACTCATTTGTGCCTGTCATCCTCCCCGGAAGCCTTTGTGACATTAGAGTGAGACCCTTAGGGTCGGGGAAGGTGCTGTCTGTGGCTCTGCCCTGTTGGGTCAGAGCGTGTAAGTAACGGTGCTGATGGGTGCGAGTCACCCCGCACACCTGGCAGGAGGCCTCAGATCCACAGATACAACCTCTGGCTCCTCTGGGGCCTAAGGGCTTCGAGCAGACTTTCTCGGGGGAGGTGACTTTGGGGTACCTGAATGCTCATTGGCTGGCTAAAGATCATACATCGACAAGACCCCAGGCAAGGCTGTGTCTCATTTGTCCTATGTTTTTCCTCTTAGTATTTCAGAGCATTTACAAAGGACTTTACAACTGGCGAAAACTTTAAAGGTAAGGACATAAGCCCTGTGCCTTTACTGTAGATTTGCCTCAGGTACCCATCACGGACAAATGGTTCAGGAGCCTGTCGCAGCCCCAGCTCACGCCCTGCCACCAGCCTCCTGCCCACCTCCTTTAAGCACTCAGGCAGGCGAGTCTCAGCAGGAGGCTTTGTTTGTTTGGCTTTTGTTACTCCTCACCCAGGAGATTTTCAGAGTGGAAGAGAGGGAGGGTGAGAGAGAGAGACAGGGATGTGAGAGAGCCACATCGATTGGTTGCCTCCTGCAAACATTCCAACCAGGGCTGTGGATCAAACCTGCAACCGAGGCACGTGCCCTTGACTAGGAATCAAGCCTGAGACCCTTAGATCCATAGACTGACACTCTGACCACTGACCAACACCAGCCAGGTTTCAGCAGGAAGTTTTTATTTTGTGCTCTGCCTTCTTTTGGCAAACAAAGTGGTGACAAAGTTGTTTGTTTGTTTGTTTGTTTAAAATATATATATATATATATATATTATTGATTTCAGAGAGGAAGGGAGAGGGAGAGAGATAGAAACATCAGTGATGAAAGAGAATCATTGATTGGCTGTCTCTTATATGCCCCACACTGGGGATCGAGCCCGCAACCCAGGCATGTGCCCTTTGACCAGAATCAAACCCAGGCCCTCAGTCCTCAGGCCAACGCTCGATCCACTGAGCCAGACCGGCTAGGGTGTGATAAAGTTTTTATTTTTTTAAAAGGTAAACTTTGTAATTGAAAAAAATATTGGAGAAGTGCACACCTGGTGAATTTTTATGAATGGGCCCACCAGGTAGCTGGCACCCAGATCAGGCCCCAGACGGTGACCAGTCAGCCCATGGTGACTGCATTCTAATCAGAGGCCGTCCTACCTGGTATGAACCAGGTGTGGGTGGAGTCAGCGTGCCCGGCCTGTGTCTGCACGCCTGTGTGCAATACGTCCCTGTCACCTCACCGTGCGGTCTCCTGTTGGACTCACCGCTGTCTGTACCAAGCTCTCGGTGGCGAGGCACCACGCTGGGGACTCAGGGGTGGGGGGGAGCATGTGGTAAGGTCACCGAGGTGATGGTGGTTGCTTCCCCAGGGCCTGACCGAGAGCTGCAGACGGTGAGACAAGCCATGATTGACTTCCTACAGAACCACACGGACGAAAACAGGCCTCCCGCCTGCCCGGCTTTGGACCCTATTCGGTGCGTGGTTCTGTAAGAGAAAATGGCACATTAGGCGTCGAATTAATTCTGCAAACTCAGATGTGCACTAAGTGGGATGGGCCCTGTACCTGGTGGCCAGCTCACTGTTCGCAAAAACACTGAAAGCCTTTTTTTCCTCTTAAAAGGCCCAGTGACGTTCTTTCTCTCATTGACAACCATGAGGGCTGCTACGTGGCTATTCTGTTTGAGAGCAACAGCTCGTATGTTGGACGTGAGGTACCATGTCTGTATCCTGTCGGGTCCCGGCGTGATGGGTTCAGCACGGGGCCTGGGCCTAGATTCTGGGGGTGAGAACTAGGGTAGTCGTGTTACTCGGTGAATCATCCGGTTTGTGGAGAAGACAGTGGGGGAGCGTCTCTGAGGGCAGGAGAAGAGTAGGGCACAGGCTGGCCTTGTCCCCACGTGGGCGTAGGGCTCAGGGGGCGGGGACCTGGGCCTGGTGGTGCTGCTTTGCTCCTATGCTCTGGAGTCCAGTTTGTTTGCTGTATTCTGGGCTCCCAACTTTTTAGCCAGATGGTTGCCAGGGTGGAGGCAGCAGCTCCTCAGCTCTGCTCAGAGCCGAATCCTCTTCCCCCTGCCCCCGCCTAGGCACAAGGCAGAGGCCAGGGCCCTGTTGCTGTCCGGGGATGCTGGGGCTGTGGCCCCGGGGGCGGGGGGCACTTGATGGTCAGTTTCATGGGGGATGTGCTGGCTGGGACAGTACCGCACAGGGCCACTGTCAGGTCCCCTCAGACCGTCTGGTTTCTGCCGGGATGTCCGTGGCTCAGTTGCCTTAAATGTGACCGTCTGGGTGTGGAGAAGACGGGTGCAGGGCTCCCTCTGTGCGCTGCGCCCTGTGGACCCGCCTGGGCCGAGGGTAACCTTCCCTCCTGATGCAGGTGATCCTGGACCTGAGTCCTTATGAGAACATCGCGGTGAAGAGAGCACTGGACAGCGACCCGGCCTTTCTGGAGAAGCTTGGCATCTCTTCTGTTCCTTCCTGTTACCTGGTTTACCCAAATGGGTCCCACGGGTTAATTAACATGTAAGCGTAGTTTGGCTGAAGGACTGTTTGGTGGTGGCATCCCGGAACCATCTGGGTGGGAGCTCACACCAAGCCAGATGTGGTCTGGTCTGCGTCTGTGTCGGGGGGGGGGGGGTGCACCCCCTTTCCCCAGCGAGCGGTGGGCAGGGTGGGCTCTGGACTCCATCCCCTCAGTCCACTCTCCTTCCTGAGAGCACAGTTGTCCTCTACTGGGGCCCCTGAGAGAATCCTGAATTGGAAAAGGTTGTGGGCGGAAGGGTTAGGTCACGTCCAAAACCTGTGCTGCCTGCCGGGTCCCCACCTCTCCGCCCTGCTGAGTGGTTCTCACGCCGCCCGCTGGCCTGGGGACCTTGGGCTTTGGTGAGCTGGGCGTCTGTACCACCTGCGGCTGAGCTCGTGAGGACTGAACACCAGGCCAGGCTCAGCCACTGCCCTCCCCTAGCTCCCTGAGCACTGCCGTTCGCCTCAAAGACCAAGGACCGTTTATGTGGAGCTGTCATCTGTGCGATGTAACAGAGAGGTGCACTTTACATGACCTTGAGCTACTGGAAGGTCTCAGTCAGCCTTCACACGCCCGGTAGCTCGAGGGCCCGTTGAGCAGCAGGCTCAGGGGAGGACCGAGGCCGAGACCTCCACACATCAGAGAGCTGATGCTGCGGGTGCTCAGCCGGCTCCACAGCCCACGGGTGTCCCTGAGCAGCTGAGGCTCAGGGTAGTGTGGGTCTGTCTCATGTCCTGGGGAGAGGGGGGTGGGGCCAGCTCCGAGGCCACACCCATGGCACCTGCAGTGAAGGGCGGGAGGGGAGTACAGCTTCCCTCCCTCACTAAGGGGCCTGGGCAGCTCGGCCAGGTTCGGGCTCCGGCTCAGTCCACACCCACCCACCCCTTTCTCGCAGCATGAAGCCTCTTCGGTCATTTTTTTCCTCTTATTTGAAGTCGTTGCCAGATGTGAGGAAAAAATCGCTTGCATTGCCTGAAAAGCCAAGCAAAGAACAAAATTCTGAAGTTGTGGTGTGGAGAGAGTTTGACAGGCAAGTGCTCTTTGGACAGGAGGTGTGGGAGGTGAGCACTGGGAGGCCCAGGTGGACAGGAAGCTGTGGGCTCAGCTCGCTGAAGGCTCAGGCCTCCTGGGAGTCGGGGGACGGGAGGCGGCTCACTGGAGAGAAGGCATTAATACCTGGCTCTGTGATATCTAATCTCAGGTCAAAACTGTACACGGCGGACCTGGAGTCGGGGCTGCACTACCTCCTGAGGGTGGAGCTGGCCACCCACAGGACACTGGCTGGGGCCGAGCTGAAAACACTCAAGGACTTTATTACTATCGTTGCCAAGGTGTGTGGGGTCTGCTCTGGGCTGGGCGCTCGGTTCATGACCCTGCGGAACGAGGCCGACCTGAGCTGGATGTGCACTCTGCTGGCCAGCGGTGCCCAGCCTGCTTTTGGCACTGGGGGCATGGCTCATGCGGATGCCAGGCCTGAAGGGGCACTGAGCAGGGGGCCTGGGGGGGGGGCGCATGGGCAGGAGGGAAATCTCCAGGGGCACTTACCCAGGTGGGTGGTGAGTGTGGTGGGAACTGTGGGACTGACTCGGTGTGTGGCTGATGCCAGCAGCCCCATGACATGGGGGATGGGGACAACAGGAGCAGGCGGACAGCACCGTCACGGAGGGTGCAGCGCGGCCGCTATCCTCATCCTCTGGAGTCTGCTGAGGGGGCCGGGACCAGTGCTGTGGGCGCCACCCTCCTCCTTTAGTAGGAGGTAGCGCAGTGTTCATGGAAGTTTAGTTCTTGCCTTGGCCGGCTGTTGTTTTCTGGCCCAGATCATTCTGGGAGGCGGGAGGCCTCCCCCCCTCAGGTTCCTGGGGCAGGTCTGAGCCCTGGTTCTCTTGCCCCTGCAGCCCTGTCTGGGCCTGGCTGTGGCCCCTCTGCTCTCTGACTCCTGGGGTAGCCTAGCCAGGGTCCTAGGGCCCAGCAGAGACCTAGGGCCCCAGTCACAGCACTGCGACGTGATTTACGTTTAAAGGAATAACTAGGAGGCGCCTAGTGCGTTTCCCACGAATAAAGGAAAGCTGCTTGGACAGGCTCTGATCCTGTTGTGGGTTCAGAATTCTGGAATCTCCAGAATGTCCTCCTGCTCACGGGCCGTCGGCTGCTCAGCGGTTGGCTGCTCAGCCTCCGCTGTCGGCACCGGCTCAGCAAGCAGCGGGCCCAGCTCCAAGGCCAGGTGGCCGTGCATATCTTAGCCGTCTTCCTGCAGCTGACTCAGACTTGAAATTCATGCTCGTAATTGGTGGTGGTCCTGGGCGACCTGTCGGAAAAGAGTTTCCGGGGCTGACTGTGCTGTGGCTGCTGTTCTTCCATATCGACGTCATCTCATAAGTTAGGTCAGGTGTGAGGGGCCCTCTCGGCAGCGCCACTCTGCACGTCTCGCTGTGCTTGGGTGCAGGGGTCGCCGGGTGAGTGCCACACGCTGACCAGCTGGTCACACTTGCGCCTGGAAACCTGAGGGGCTGCCTGCCTTCCCAGGGGTCTGAGTGTGGTGCTTCCCCCTCAGCTGTTCCCCGGCCGCCCGCCCGTCAGGAAGCTGCTGGAGATGCTGCAGGAGTGGCTGGCCAGCCTCCCCCTGGACCGGGTGCCCTACAATGCCATCCTGGACCTGGTCAACAACAAGATGCGGGTGCGCACCTCCCGGCTCCTGCCCACGCACGGGCATCCCCGCGGCCCCTCCTCAGGCCCCTCTGCGGTGGCTTCTGTTCCTGTCCCCATGACGACTGCACGTCTCCTCCTCTGTCCCTGGTGCTGTCCGCTCCCTGCCGAGTCCTCAGTGCAGGGACATTGGTGACGGCCGCCGCGCAGGCAGGGGTGGTTTCTCACGGGATGGCACCAGGGCTTGTTCAGAAAATTTTGAGTGGACGGAATTGTGCACCTAAAATTGATGTGTTTAGTAAGAGTGTGGCTGAGCTGCTCCTCAGGCTGGGTTCCCGTAGTGAGGGTCACTGAGAGCCTCATCCTCACCAAGACTAGCCGTGCCAGGGCCGTGGTCTGCACGCACCTGGCGTGAGCCTGTTGGAAGTGCTCACAGTTTGGATACGTGTCCCCGTGTGTAACTACCACCAGTCAGAGGACACTCACCAGCTATTTCTATATCTGTTATTCTTTCTTTGCTCAGATTTCTGGAATATTCCTCACTAATCAGATAACGTGGGTTGGATGTCAAGGAAGCCGCCCGGAGTTGAGGGGTTACACGTGTTCTCTCTGGAAGTTGTTCCACACGCTGACTGTTCGGGCCGGGACCCACCCAGACGTGTTGGATGGCACAGGTAACGTCCCTGCACAGCCAGGTGCTGGCTGCCCCCTGACGCACACGGGATGCGCCGGCCGGGCCGTCGGAAGCTAAAGCTCAGCAGCGGGCGTTGGCTGTAAGGCAGTGTGTCATCGGGGGCCCTGGGGGCCCTGCTAAGCAGGCAGAGGGAGCGTCTTTCCAGGTCACAGAGCCCACGCGCCCAGTGCGGAGCCGAGTTCTTCCCTCCCTGGGCCCAGCACGTGCAGATGCCCTGCAGCCGCCCCGTTCCCGCCCGGGAGAGGACCCGCTGTGGGAACCTCTGCTTGTGCTTTACAGGTGTGAGACGCAGTAGGAACGGGCGTGTTTTATCTCTCGTTGCCTGACAGGTTACCCTAAAACCCAGCAGCTTGAAACAGTGTACTCGTCTCTGTGGGTCAGGAATCTGACGTGGCCAAGCCAGGTCCTCTGCCAGGGCAGCGTGTCTGCCTGAGGGCCTGGGTGTCACCTGCTGGCTGTTCCTCCCCGCGTCCTCTCCACAGCAGCTCCCACAGCACTGGCTCCGTCAGAGTGAGCCCCTCGCTGTGCGTGTTCTGGTTGTTAGAAGTCAGCCATGGCCTCGCCTGCTCACGGGAGCTGGCGTCCCGGGGCCATCTCAGGGGCCGCCTGCCGTAAGAGGAAAAACTACCAAAGTTTGAGTGGGTTGACTAACTTCAGTCACCGGAAGCAGCTAACGCAGAGTCGTCATGTTCTGCATGCTCTGTGGACACTACGAAATGTGCTGGATATTTTACCCTTTGGACTTGGTTGTGCGGACACTGCCTGGCCCCAGCAGGCTGCTGTCTCTTAGTTGTCATTTCCCTTTTTTTAAATATGTTTTTTATTTCAGAGAGGAAGGGAGAGGGAAGGAGAGAGAGAGATCAAAACATTAATGAGAGAGAACATCAATCGACTGCCTCCTGCACACCCCCTACTGGGGAGCGAGCCTGCAGCCAGGCCTGTGCCCTGACCGGGAAGCACGCTGTGACTCCAGGTTCATAGGTCGATGCTCAACCACTGAGCCACGCCAGCCATGCTTGGTTGTCATTTTCGTAGTTGTTGAGGTCCACTGATGCTTATGTTACATCTTGACTCACACAGTCCAATGTTCTTTCCAGTAAAAGTGTAAAATTCATAGTTACCTTTTGCTGCCTAACAAGCTAACCCAGATGTGGTGGCTCTTGTGTGGGACCGGTGGGTGCTCGTCCAGAGGCATGGCGGTTGGTCTGACTCAGAAGGTCCGAGCCCTGCACCCGGCCAGCTCTCACCACACCCAGGAAGGCGCTCTCAGGGCCTCGGCAGGCACAGGCATCGCTTCCCCACACCCTGTCGGTCAGATAGGGCTCACCTGCCGGGTGCAGAGGGCAGGGCTGCCCTCGGGCATTTGTACCACGAAGCTCTCGTCCAGGCAGCGCTGAGTTCTGGGGTCTCATGGGGCAGAGGTGGGCTTTGAGACTTGAGATTCTCTTAAGAATCACACAGGACAAGAGCAGCATGACTTTCAGGGGCAACACGGAGCTCCCGGACAAAAGTAACATCAGACCACCTCAGCCGTGCGCACAGCTGGAGCCTCGCGTTTCCGGGCCCTGCCCTGGCAGCAGCACATGCTGAGGGCAGCCTGGTAGCCGCCAGGGCTGCGTCCCCTGGAGACGGCGAAGCGGTGTAGCTCTGCCTTGTGTCGGAGGGCGGCACACGGCGGAGCACACAGATCCCGCGGGGTCTCGCCCAGCAGCAGAGTCACATACATTGCAGTTCTACCAGGAGCACGTCTCGTGCTGCAGAACTGGGTCAGACGGAGATGCCGGATTATGTCTTGGAAGGTTTTCCTCTCCTTATTGGACGCGTAAGCCCATCGACTAAAAGCCTGCGTGTCCCCTAATCCCCTCAGGTAGAGCTTTGTGGTTCTTGTGCACTTTAGAGATTAGGGGTCGCCGTGAGCAGCGCTTGGCTGGGGAGAGAAAAGGAGGATTACGGTGAAGCGGAGCAGATGTCGGCCCAGGGCTGCTGGCTGCCGGCGCGGGGCCACGGGCAGAGCCCAGCCGAGCGCATGCACGTGGCGATCTCACTGTGGGCACTGCCTCACTGCCCTGGACACAGCCTGGGAGCAGTCGGCTCAGCTCAAACTCTGAGTGGAATGGCCGCCACAGTTAGTGACTAAGGGACATGGGAATTAGGCCGCTGGGGCTCCAGGGCTGGTGGGCGTGGCCGTGAAGTGGAGCCACGACAGCTTCAGCCAGAGACCACGAGGGCCTGCTGTTGGTTCTGACGGATTCGGTCTCAGAAGTGTGTCTTGTTTACCCAGTTACCTTGCTGCCTGTCTTTTAATGCTGGCAAAGTCCCCTTTGTATGCTTAACCCCCATCCTAGCTGTCTGGAGAGGCCCGCTAGGCCCAGCCCAGGCTGCCCTCTGGTTCTCTCAGGGCCCCTGTTAGGGCCACGTTGTCTGCCCCCCTGCCTGTGGCTGCTCTCCCAAAACGTCAGGGTGTGTTTTCTCGGGCCCCACGCGGGGCTGTCACTGGGGGTGGATGCTGGAGCACTCCCACCAGAGGTGCAGCCTCTCCTAGGAGGGCAGGTCCTGGTGCCTGCCGTTCCCAGACCGCCCTGGCCACTGCCCATTCGCCCCAGGCTACCCTTGGGAAGGTCAGTGTGAAGCTGGTGGCACCCCAGAGGCACAAGCTAAGGCCACGTGCACACCTGGGCTTGTGTTGTGCAAGGACTTCGGAGCAAAGCAAGCACTTAGAGGCGTGCGCCGTGGCTCCGGCACCAGCCTTCGGGCCCGCTTGTGAGGTGGGCGGACGTGCACAGGGCCCACCCGACCCGAGGCAGAGCCCTGCTCTGGGGGTGAGGCCGGAATCTGGTCCGCGGCACGGCTCGCCCCCTGGAGGCCCTTCCCCTGGTACTTGTTCTGGGGGCTGCACAGGCGCATGCTCGGCGGAGGCCGTGGGGCCAGCAGCCCTGTTGCCGTGGGTCAAGCATGTCAAACTCAAAGGCTAACACGGGCCAAATAAACAAGGTTTAAGTTTATGTGGCCACAAAATAAACAACAGCTTCCATTTTCCTAGAAACATACGTTTATTTCGATAGAAACATGCTGAATACAAAGGGCTGAAATAAATGAGTCATCGTTAACCTAAAATAATAGAACATTTTAACAAAAATTAATATTTTTTCTTGAACATTAATTTACCAGACACTGAATAACTACACAAATTAATAAGTGTTAATGCAAATACACCTAGTTTTCTTGTTCTCCGAAAGTGAAATATTTCCTGTTGCGCACACCAAACAAGTCAGTCCAAGACGAATGACGTGGCCGTCGGCTGCTAAAATATTCGCTGCTGGTGTTAGTGGCGAGAAATGGTGCGCCTGCGCGTTAAGGCGTGTGAGGGAAATGAGTGCAACACGATGATGGTCACCAGTCATTCGCGAACGCTGTGGTTCGTTATTAATAATTATGTATAACAGGATAGTGTAAAAATTAAGTTACGAAATTTTTATTAAAATGTTTCCTATGTGCCGTTATATTGCCTGGGCACACCAATATTGGTTGTGGGCCGTGAGTTTGACATGCTTGCCAAACTCATGTCAGGCCTTAGCTTGTTCCTGGCTCCCGACACCACCCCAGTCCTGGGTTCCAGTAGGAACCATCAGTCACGTTCTGTGCCTTGTTTCCGGGGTGCCACAGTGCTTGGTCCCTGCAGGTTTCGAAGACGACCCCCAGGCGGTGCTGCAGACCATCCGGAGGTACCTGCTCACCTTCTTCGGCTGCAAAGAGTGTGGGGAGCATTTTGAGGAAATGGCTAAAGAGTCCATGGATTCCGTGAAAACCCCAGACCAAGCAATCCTCTGGCTTTGGAAGAAGCATAACCTCGTGAACAGCCGCCTGGCAGGTAAGCAGAAGCCATGGTGGCCTGCCCGTGCCCGTCAGCGTGTCCTGTGAGCGGGTGGGGGTGGGGGGGCGGCAGCACTGTTCGAGGGGATGACCTGACCTCGGTGCCGCTCTGCCTGCTCTGGGCTCACAGCGGGAGCCAGCCCTGCTCCGCCATCAGTTTCAGGACCTCCCCAGGGGCTGTTCTCAGGCTCCAGGGTGCCTGCTTTCCAGATTGTTCTCTCCCTGGAGCCGCGTGGAAGCTGACAGGCAGCATGCACCCCCTGAGGAGCCCATGAGGCCCAATGAGACGCAGCGGGAGGCTTGGGTCATAATTAATTTTCAGGAAGGAATTTTAGTGTCATTAAAATCTGCTCTCAGACGACAAATCAAACTCCTCAAAATGGCTTTGTTTAAAGCCTAAGTAGGGCGCATACATTTTCTCAGAGTTAAGTAATTCAAACTGCTCCTAAATCAGTGGCAGATTAAAATTAGGCTTAAAAATAATTCCCCTCAGAAGTAAATCTTGATAAAGATGAATAGAAAACCCACTAAACTGTTGGTTTTTATGTAATCCACTGTATTACAAAAACATATTACAACTCAAGCACTAAAGAAAATTGGTTGCTCTTTGCACCAGAGCTGCCTGCTGGCTCTGGTCACGTGGCGTGGCCCTGGCCCCTTCAGTTTGCCGGCTTTGCCCTCCTGTCGGTGCAGGTGAAGGCCCCTCCGTGGAGGCCCTGCTGCAGGTGTCAGGCCTCCCCGTGCCTCTGCCTGCCACCTGTGCTCCCAGTGAGTCCGACGTTGCCCTGGCAGCACTGAGCTCCAAGAGCCCGTGCCCCCTCCCCCGTCATTACCCTGCCGCCGAAAGGGCTTTCTGCAGCCCTAGGATGTCTCCTAGTCCCGTAGTCCCAGCCCACCTTTAGCAAAGCAGTGGGACAGACAGGAGCAGGGCAGGTGAGTGGCAGTGTAGTCTGGCCATGGGGGCCGCCCGAGGATGCTTTAGGGAAGCAGGGGCAGCTGTGCAGGAAAGGTGGGGTGAGGGGCACAGGCGTCATCTAGTCCCCGCGGCGAGGTCTCAGTGGGTGTGGGTGGACCAAGAGGGTGGGGGAGGCAGGCACCTGACCGTGGGCAGGAGGCCTGTGGCGTGGCAGCCCTGGGTGGTGGGCAAGTTGAGCGAAGGCCTCCCCACAGCTGCCTCCCTCCCGCTCCCAGGCCACCTGAGCGAGGACCCCAGGTTTCCCAAGGTTGCGTGGCCCACTCCGGACCTCTGCCCTGCCTGCCACGAGGAGCTGAGGGGCCTGGACAGCTGGGACGAAGACCAGGTTCTCCTGTTCCTGAAGCGGCACTACGGCAGCGACAACCTCGTGCACACGTACGCCACGGCCCTGGGTGGCACCGGCGAGGCCGAGGGGCCAGAGGGAGGCCGAGCCAACCCAGAGAGGCCTGGAGACCACGGGGCCGAGAGCCTGCACCCGCCCGGGGCCCTGCCTCCCACACCTCGCCCCTCAGAGGGGTCACACCTGGGACCAGCCAGGCCTGAGGGCCACAGGGAGGTGGAGGCGGCTGCACCCTTCCTGGGGATGGGCTTCTCCAGCCTGGACATGAGCCTCTGCGTCCTGCTCTACGTGGCCTCCTCCATGTTCCTGATGGTGATGTTCTTCTTCTTCCGAGTGCGCTCCCGGCGGTGGAAAGTCCGGCACCGCCATCCGTCCGTGTAGAGCTGAGCAGCCCGCCCGCGCCTGCGGCTGTAACGTTTCTGATCAGGGATGACAGGCAGGGGGCCTGCTCCCCGCTGATGGCAGCTGTGGTCCCAGAGCTGGGGCCTGTGTGCGTTCCCGGCCTTCACAGTCCGTGGACGCCTCTGACAAATCCATAGCAAAGCGACTTCTGTTTTTACTCTTCTAGGTCTGAAAACGGGAGTGGGATGTCCAGGCCAAAAAGAATGTTTTGCACCCACTTTCATCAAGTTTACTGGGCTCCACATCCATTGTGCACGGCCTCCTTTGGAGATTTGGAGAAAAACCCAGCCCTTCCCCATGGAAGCTAAGGGGTGACTGAATGCAGCCAGGGATACCCCCGCCCCCCCACATCCCCGCCATGGGGGGTAGACTTGGTGTGGGGAGGAAGGGTGGTGTTCATCTTACTCTTCAGGGACAGTGCCTTGGCCTGTTGGTTGTTACTCTGGTGATGAGAGAGCTCAGTGCGTGAGGGCCACCCAGGCTGCCTGTCCCTGGCAGTCAGGAGACTGTGAGCCCGAGAACAGAGCTTCCGCCTGGGCCCCTGCCATCCAGCACCCACAGCCCTCCTGAGCCACTGCCCAGAGCCAGAGTGGGTGGTGCACGGGGTCTCGCTGGCATCTCTAAGGCCAAACTTCATTTGCCTGAAGGTGTTTTACACAGGTCCTGGCACAGGGCCTATCCCTGGGCTTTGGTGGTTAATTATTTACCATTTAATGATTTTAACACATTATTTTAAATGTGTTAAAACCCAGAACATTCAGAGGTAAAGTAAATGCGTAAACAAATGAACTCCTGGGGGCATTTCCTTTGAGACCCTTATGCAGATGCTCAGCGGTGTGCGCCCCCGTGTGTGTGTGTGTGTGTGTGTGTGTGTGTGTGTGTGTGTGTCTGTGCCTGTGTGTCTGTGCCTGTGTGTGTGTCTGTGTGTGTCTGTGCCTGTGCCTGTGTGTGTGTGTGTGTGTGTGTGTGTGTGTGTATGTGCCTGTGTGCCCCCTTGTGTGCGTGATGGTGGTAAGTAGTTCTTCCCACTGTGCCTGTGGTCTCCGCATGCTCCCTCATTGCAGCGGCTAAGCACGTGTGGACTCGCACCAGGTCCTGCCCCAGCCCAGCTCAGGGAGCCCAAGGATGGTGCCTGCAACGCTGCCCCCAGCCCGGTGCCCACCTGGGGGCAGGCGTGGCCAGGATCAGGGAGCCCTGCCCTGAGCTGAGGTTTCCAGTTGGTGACACGTTTAACCCCTAGAAGCCTCTGGTTTAAACCTGAGGCTTGTGTGCCTGGTGATTGACGGCACCATATTGTTTCCTTTCAACTTGAAAACGGGCCAGTTTACAGAGGCCACGGGAAATACTGGGCCTCTTTCATTAAACTGCCTTAGGTTCGTGTCAAATGTCGTTTTTTCCCCCAAATAAGTTTCTGTGAGCAGTGGGCACTGTCCTACATCAACCCATTTGACAGGCAATGTTGGCTTCTAAGGTTCATAGTGATATTGCGGTTTGAGGTCACATCTGTGACATCAGAGGGCCAGGTTCCAGCAGACCGCCGGTTCCATGCGGCCACGGAAAGGGTCTCACCTGCAAGTGTGAGCCGCCTTGCACACCTCACGTGGTGGCCTGCTCAGAACTGGATGCTACCTTCAGGTCTGTTTTCTAAAGTTGTAACTATTGAGACAATGAATATAATGGTTCAGTAATTTAAATGTATTTATTTTTAATGGGAGAATTTGGTTAAAAAGAAACTAATTGACATGAAAATCTCTGAAATTTCTTACATGCAAAGAAAGTGAACATTTTGTATTTAAAAACTGTAATGTGCACATTTTGAAATAAATCTGTTTGAAAAATTGTATTCTGAAATGCGCAGCAACTGTGAGGGTGCTGGGAGGGGTGCAGAGCCTTTAGCCCAGGGGTGGGCAAACTTTTTGACTCGAGGGCCACAATGGGTTCTTAAACTGGACCGGAGGGCCAGAACAAAAGCATGGATGGAGTGTTTGTGTGAACTAACATAAATTCAAAGTAAACATTACATAAAAGGGTACGGTCTTTTTTTTTTTTTTTTAGTTTTATTCATTTCAAACGGGCCGGATCCGGCCCGCGGGCCATAGTTTGCCCACAGCTGCTTTAGAGTGTATGGACCACACACCTTAGCTCCAGAATTTCTAGGAACCAGAGGGTTTGGAAGACAGCCCCAGGGTCAGGTGGAACAGGAAAGAGAGATCATTAAATTACAGATAGTTCCTGAGACGAGACGGCAGCCGTCCTTCCACAGAACCGGGAGAAGTGGGGGTGACGGGCAGCCGACTGCATGTGCTGTGGAACCTCCCAGGCCCTGCCCACCACCACGTAGCTCTGGGTGTGGCCTTCCTAGGCCACCCTCTGCCACGGAGCCACATGCCTGGCCTCTGCCCTGACACCAGTTTGCTGCCTCAGGTTCTGAACTCTTTAAATTTTCCTGCCCTCTCCTCTGCTTGGTGGGAAGAGGCCCAGTCACCACGTGTGTGGCTGGAGGGAGACCTGCTGGCTGCAGTGTCTGTGGCTTCGTTTCCCCCGCTGGGCTGTGTGGTTGCCCCTCCCTGGCTTTCCCCAGGCCCCTCCCTCAGGACCCAGGCAGCCCCTGGGGTGCAGCTGGGGCAGAGCAAGGGGCGACTAGTGGGTATGGCAGCCCGGGCCGTGGTTCTGATGTGGGTGCAGGCTCACCATCAGTGACCCCTGGTCAGGCCCTTGATTCCTGAGCAGTTTCTGTTGGGGACACCCCAGATGCCCCTCCTCCGGGCTGCAGTCGGGGTGGGGCTGTGGCCTGAGATCTGGGGAGGTGGTCGATGCAGAACCTGCAGAGCCGGCCTGTGGGGGCCTAAGCAGGGCCAAGAGGCCAGAGGCGCCCTCCCAGCCAGGGCCTGGACGCGCCTTTCAGGAGGCTGATGCAGGAGCAGCCAGTGGGGCACCCACTTGCCACCAATGCCCAAGCCTGTGGGCGGGGCGGGGAGGGGCAAGGAGGCGGGCAGGGAACAGAGGGTCGGGGGTGGGAGGGGTGGCATGCCGAGGGACAGGAGGTTGGTGACACGCGCCTCCTTCAGCACTGCGGACAGCGCTGGGCCCGGAGGCTCCCGGGTCGCAGAGGAAGAAGGCTGAGCGCCACCACAGCCCCTCCAGCCGAGCTCTGAGCCCCGCCTGCCCCACTGGTGGCAGCGATGCTCCTGGAGACGGAGCTTGAGCGCGACCAAAATAGGCCCGGGGCCACCGGGGCTGCCGCCTGCACCTACGGTGGGACCCGGGGTAAGAGAAGCCCGAGCTTAAGGCCTCGAGGGAGGAATGGAGGGCAAGGGGCGGGGAGGCCCGCGGAGGCCACCTGGGCGGCAGGCGGGCGGGTGGGGAGGGCAGAGGAAAAGAGTCCGAGAAACCAGACCTCAGTGGAGGTAGAGTAGAGATGGGAGCACAGGGGAGGGGCGGGGAGGGTCAAGGGCCTGGAGCTCTGCCATCGCTCATGGGTGGTTTGGGGGGCTTGGTCCAGGCACCCCAGAGCAGAAGCGCATTCCTGAAGGTGCTGCTGGCCCAAGGGGTGGTGCAGGCCGGAGGTGCCAAGTTCCTCTAGAGACCCACCCCCAAGTTCCCACAGTGCCCAGCTGCCCCTCCCTAACCAGCCCAACAGCCCAGCACCGGACCCCTGATGGGTCTTTCCCCGAAACCCGTGCTCCCCAAGGGCCATTCCATCACCACAGACACTGGGAATAATGAAGGCATTGTCGGTGGGCCAGCCAGATGCCTAGCGAGTGGGGCTGCCGCCTCCTCCACGTGCTGCCCACCTGCCCTTCCCCAGTCACTGCCCCTCTCCGGTAGCCTCCGCAGCAGCCCATACTCCGCACTCACCACCCCCTGGGATCCAGGGCTTGACACCCCTGCCCTGAGCTCAGGGTGACACGTGCAGAGTGAGATGAAGGGCTGTGTGCTGGCTGCAGGGGCCTCTGACCAAAACCGACTACAGGCAGGAGATGGGGCAGGAGATGGGGCAGGAGATGTGGGCCTTCTGTGGGGACCCAGTGCAGGGTCTGGAGGAGGCACCAACCTGCCGGTCCCCTAGCACTTCCGGGCCCGGCCACTCCCTGCCCCACCCTGCAAGGGGCCCACCCTGCTGAGTCCGGATTGTGGTGCCTGCAGGGGGCTGTGCCCCTGGGCAGGAGCGGCTGCCCTGGGTAGATCGGGTCTACGTGCAGGACGAGTGGGTCCCTGCAGGCTCACCTGTTGGACTGGGGCACGATGTTGGAAAATCGGGTGCATGGGCCGGGTCCTGTGCAGGCCGGGCGCTGAGGTGGAGAGCAGTGAAGGTGGACACCTGCTCCCCAGCTCCGTCCCTCCTGGCCTGGAGTCTTGGCTGCCTGTCCAGGCCGACGTCGGGTTCTCTTCTAGAGAATCACCCTCCTTCCTGCACCCACTGGGAGCAGAAGCTCCAACGGTAGAGGCAGAGCCAGGAGGTCTGCGGTCGCACCAGCTCCGGGTGGTTCTCCGGCCCTTGGGCGACGCTCAACCTCTGAGTCTGGGTGGCGTTTGTACCGACCGGACGGCCTCGCCAGGCCTTCCAGGTCCGGCTCTGAGTCCGAGCATCAGCGGCCGCAGGACCCAGCCCCTCCCTGGCCCTTCTCCCAGGCCCCCGGCCTATGGTCGGAGTCCAGGCCTCAGCCCGCGCCCGCCCGTAGAGCAGGGCGAGGGAGCGGCGGGGAGCTGGCGGCCCTAACCCGGCTCCTCTGGGCCAGTCCCCGCCCGCCCTCCGGCCGGCACTCGGGTGGTGTCTGGTAAGCGCGGGTCCCTGCGTAAAGGGATGCAGAGCGGGGAGTCGCAGCGACTCCCGGCCCCGCCCCGCCCCGCGGCCCCGCCCCCAAGCGCCCCGCCCTCCCCGGGGCCGAGGCTGGGGCCCCAGGGCGGCCCGCGGGCGCAGCGCCCAGCCGCTCGGGAAGCAGCTCGGACGCCGGCCCGGGGCCACTGAGGCCGTGGCCTGGCTGGGCCCCGAGGAAGTTTGGGGCCGGATTGCGGCGGCGCCGGGCGGCGGGACCCATGGAGGCGCGCGGGGAGCTGGGCCCCAGCCGGGAGTCGGCGGGTGGCGACCTGCTGCTGGCGCTGCTGGCACGGAGGGAGGACCTGCGCCGAGGTGGGTGCTCGGGGGTCCAGCGCCCGCGCCGGATAGAGCAGACCCTCCCCCGGGAGACCCAGAGGTCCTCGCGGCTTTCCGGCCAGGCCACGGGACCCACGGGACCGGGTGGGAGTGGGTTCGAGGGCCCCAGCACCCACTGAGCGCCCAGCAGCAAGTTTGCAACGGGCCTGGGCGCTGGACTGTTGGGCGTGTGGTTCTGGGCGGGAGAGTGCGGAGAGCCACCTGGGGTCCCGGTAACCAGGGGCAGGAGGTTCCTGAGAAGACAGCCCCCTCCAGACCCCCCACGCTCTCCTGGGCAGAGAGATGCAGGCCAGGGCGCAAGGGACCCCAGCCGAAGATCGCTCCCCGTTGGAGTCTGGCTTCTGCACCCACAGGCACCTGTTCCGCTGGTCGCTCTGGCGGGTCCTCTGGATCCTCTTGCAGCAGAGCCCCCAACTTTCTGGGGTCTCAGCCTCGCCCCCAGCGCTTGGCTCCGGGGAGTTGGGACCTTTCTCCCCGGCTTCTGCGGGCAGGACCGGAATGGAGGCGGAGGCCGTCTGGGCGGTGGGGACCGGCCGCACGGGGCGGTGGCAAAGGGGGTGACATCCAGGCTGTGGGGTCTCATCCCTCCCTACTTATTTATTTATTTCCCGGCGGATCTTGGGAGGGGTTGGCTGCAGGGCTGTGAGGAAGGGGCGGGAGGGCGGAGGGAGAGGGAGGGGGGAGGCGGGCGCGCAGGAGCCGCTCGGAGAGCTGGCGGGGAGCGGCGACGGCGGGCGTGAGGTGGTGCCGGGCCCACAGGAGCCGAGGGCAGGAGACCCGCCGACCGGAGCCGCCATGCAGCGTAAGGCCCGGGTCGAGAGTCTGCGGGGCGCGAGGGGCGGCGGGAGAGGCTTTTACAGGACGCGGATCGTAGGGAAGGTCCGGCCGGCGCTGTCCGGGCCGCGGGTGCTGAAACGCGCGCGGAGGGTCTGCCCAGCCTCCAGGGCTGCGCCGCGTCCTCGCTCTGCCTGCGTCGCCCACAGCGAGGCCCGGGCCCCGCGGGTCCCCCGGGCTCCACACCTGGGGCGCGGTTTTGCCCGACGCGGGACCGCGTCCTTCGCAGGTTTCCGCGACTGCGGGAGGGAGGTTGGTTTGGCTCTGGCGCCCAGTGAGGCTCTGTCCCCCCTCTCTGCCCCCAGCCTGGAGCCGGAGGGGTCGGGGCAACCAGGTGAAGGTGGTGAGGGGATGCAGTGTTTGTGTGGGTTCAGCTGCTGTGCGCGGCTCTCTCCTCTCCCGGAGATCTTTCCTGAAGGAGCAGGGAACCCTCACCCATGAGCACCCTGAAAAGTCCCTTGGGGACCCAGGGTTCCCCTGCCTGATTTCTGGGGGGCTGCAGTCCCAGGGAACCTACTGTTGAAGTGGCTATGGCTGTGAGGGAGGGCAAACCGCCTACTGTGTGCTCAGGCTTCCAAGCTTGAGCATGGGGATAGCAGATCCATTTGTCCAGTCCACTCACGAGTACCCTCAGCTGCCCAGACATGGAAGGGCATCGGCTTTCGCCTTGGTGGCTGCAGGCAGGGCCTTGGGGCTGACGGCACAGGACAGGAGTCTCTTTCTCTCTGCCAGGATGCTTAATTGTGCAGAATAATGAGCGCGACTGGGTGGTAGGTGCCCCAGGACTCACACATGCCTGGCCCCCAGGTGAGGGGACTCTTGTCCAGCCCTGCCTCTGAGTGCTCCTGGGGC